AAATGAAAGGGTAGGTCAAAGGAACAGAGTAATAAAGTAAGGAAGGGTAATAGTGAGAGTCAGTCTACATATAGTCTATAGACAGTGCTCCTGAGGGATGGAAGTCCCAAGTTCCAGTACAGAAGGGTGCAGAACCCTCAGAACTGAAGGTGTAAGAGCAGAGAACTGTAACAAAGTCTATAAGTGAGAATACATTATAAGTCTGAAGAAGATCATTACTACAGAAATAGAGTCTACTAGCAGAAGTATGTGTATATTTCCCTTAGACTAGAAGATGTTATTGTTTGAATGAATGGTCTTACAGTTACAGGCAGCTCAATTTGACTTTCAAGTTGATGCAGAAGTAACAAGCCTGCCTCTTGCCTATTTGTTCAACACAATGCATCTCTAGCTACCTCTAATAAATACACCAACTCATCCAGTACACTACTACTAAAGATGTAACTGTAATACTGTTTCCTACCCTATCTATCTATTTGCAACTCTCTAGCCTTCTTACTACAAACACAACCTTCTCAACCTGTCTAGGAAACTATGCAAGTATCTCAGTCAAAGGGGCTGACACACCTCATGAATCACATTCTCTGTTTTTGGCTGCATTAGCAAACCTGCAACGGATCAATCATAAGCTCCTTGTCTGATTGCTCTGTTCCTGTGGTGATGAGTAGTTTGATTCGTCATAGGCAAACGTCGAAACTGTCAGTGTAGGAATTGATCTGAAGTTTATCGCCTCGGTCAAAGCAGAGACATCGGGAGTAACTTGTTGGCGGTCGACTTGCCGAAGATGCAAGAGAAGGCGGTTGCTCAGAGCACAACAGAGAACCCCTTGCATGCTAGTGTTTGAGTTTCAGTATCAATACTACAATCGAGAACCACAGGATCATACAAGGTAAAGATGAAGCTTATGGGCCCCTATTTTCAGTAGTGTCAGTACGATGCTCAGAAGAGTCGACTATACTTTGCACCTCTTCGTAAAGTAACAGTAGCAAGTTTGCAAATGCCATACCTTTTATTTGCAGTATGAACTTGTGCTATTCGGAAAGAATAACTGTTAAACTTACATATAATGCACAAGAAGTACATTGCACCTGCGTGTATATGCTTAAAAAAGAGTCGCGATAAATTCAAAGATGACGGACCTCCAGTCAATACTGTCTTTAGAACAGTACCAAGTGATCCCGAACCATAATCTACGCATCTTTAGTGAAGTCGCCTTTTAAATAGTCCACATATTTACAGTAGCTAAAGCCTCTTGCTAGGAGGAGTCCAAATACAACTTATTGCAAATTGAATAGAGATAATATGAGCATAAGACATTAACAAGCTAATAAGTATTGAAAGTCTCACCTGTTGCTTCAGAAACAAGGATGAGGTATGCCACCCACTGCTTCTTATCAGAGAACAGCACTATGCATCCAGAGTGGAACGGATGAATAGGGAAAGCTGGAGAATTATGTTAATTTAATTGGCTCCTGAAGAGTAGAAAAACTTACTGCTACTAGACAAACCGGAGGACACTGCTAAATAACAACTGCTAATGCCGCTGCTCTGCAAACTAATTATGCTTCCGATATACCAACAACAAGTTGAACTTACAAGAACCACGATCACCAAGAGAATAAGCACTGTCCGGCTTCGTCCCCATACTGCATATGCTCGTAAGGACAGTGTTGCTATTTGCACGTTACTACAAGGCCATGAATTATTAGATTGAGTCAAGGAACTCACTCGCTGCACAGGAATAGCACAGAAACAGCAGTACTAGATTGCATGATTAGGCGGTTGAAGAGCCTAGCACGAGGTAGAATGTAACGTACGGGAAGAAATGACCACGACGGTTTTACAATTCTGGGGAAGTTGCGTTAAGGTCATGCCTCAATTTGTCCATAAATAACCACCAACGTTGTAATCAGTGTCTGAGACTATCCCTAAAAGGCGTAAGGTTCATCTAATTAAGGCAGATTAATAGGAGATACCTACCGTATGTTGTGAGCACAGTAGCAAACATTGGCAGCGATCGATTTGCATAAAAGAGTGCTTTTGGTAATGAAACCCGGGATGACCATATAAGTTCCGCCTGCCATTGTAGACTTAACGATCCTGAGGTGTATTTTTATTTTTGGGACGGACCTCTTCCTTGATAGTTATGATACACTCGTAGACCTGTCCGAGAGCGTTAACTCGAGTTTTCGGAGGAGAAAGACACAGGAAGGCTTACTGCAAGAGTCAGGGCAGCAACTATTGGTTCTTTCCTTGAGCTGTGCTTGCATGGCAGAACATCGTGTTATCATTCGTAAGCTTACCTGTAAGATACTTTTCAAGATATAAGTCATCTGATGCTAAAATCCCTAATATCAAATTGCATACGCGTACAACCATGGCATAGCCTATTTCCGTCTCTACAGAACTTCCTTCCTGTAATGGCAGGGTGGACATCGAGACCTGGATTGTAAACGGTGAGTGACGAGGAGAAGCGGTAAAAGATAGAAGTTCGTCGTTTTTGCTTGAGAGTGAACGAGCTTATATGTTCGGCAGCAGAGAAGCTTGCACAGTAATACACCAATTAGATCAGACAAATTGACAACATTAGATGCACACCTGTGAAATTAGTATCCGAAACTCTATACTCATTGTGTTATTGCGTGTTGCAGGATCTCCTTCGATCGTCGCGTGCGAAACAGTAACAAAATCAAATGTGATCAGGAAGTGCTTCCATCTGCACAATGCATCTTGTGCTGATAGATGGCATCGCTGCGTTACCGATCGCTGTGATAAGTACTCGCCGACGGATTGGATGTCGCTTCGATGACCTCACACTCTCATAAATTTCGGACCTCAAACGCTCAGCTACTTATGTTAATCTGTGAGAGAGAGGAAAATCTACGTAAATGTAATGAAGGAAAGCGTGGTTAGGATGACCATTAGCGAGATGTTGTAATCACGAAAACCTACATTTCCATTGCCCTTCGCTGGAGTAGTCCTCAGCCGCCGTAACAATCTTCTGCTCCGTTGCAACCAACAGTAGAGTTTACCGTGATGCAGGAGTAAGTAGTCTGGGCTCTCTGATAAATTTCTACTCGTCGACATCTGATTGCAGTTCGAAAGAAGGTATAAAGCACATGACAGTTAAGCATTGGGCCGGAATCAAAACTGCAGAAACCTCTAAGTTGAGCTGAGAGAGGGTGTTTCACACATCGATAATGTTTTACGTACTGATTGGATATTGTGCCTACCTAAGTAGAGGTTCTAATGCACCTCGGCACCTATCGCCTTCGCGAATTGCAAAGTAGATCTCCTCATCTCTCCGCGCTCGCCCATTACAGTAAGAAGTACATCTGGCATCACTTCGGGACCTGAACCGTCTGTGTCTCCGTCTGAAATTACACGCGGAGTTAATTCGAGCCGCCCGAATGCCCAGTTGACAATGAACTCTGTCGTAGAGGTTCCGTCTGGAGACGTCAATCGAACAAATCCCTTCACTCTCCATATGCTGTCTTTAGGTAGCGTGGACAATGCAGAAGAGAAGCGTGCTGCATCAAGAACAAGAGGGTCCGCTCCGTCATGACCGTTAATCTCGGAATGCGTATGAGAACCATTGCAGGCGCAGTTTTGCGGATGAACTGAGAAGCCGCGCCGAATCGTCAAGGTTTGGACTTCCTCATTATGGGAACCGTCTTGTACATGCTCGGAGGGGTTCGAAAATAGTTTCGTGTCTAGTCCAAAAATAAGAGTTGGATCCACGCCCCCTTTGCCGTTACACTTAATCTTTGGCGTAAGATCGTTCAGAGTATTCAAATGGTCGAGAACAATGTCCAGCTGACGCTCCGACACATGTTCCCACTTGTTCTAGGCATAAGGATGAGCCGACAAAGTAGTTTCCATTCGCAGTTTGTGAAGACATACGATCAAGATTATGTCAGTATAGCTTGCTTGCATCCTAGCAGTAGGGCTTGTATCTTCGTACCCAGTAAAATTTTCAGCATCTATAACGGTAGCAATAGCGTCGAGTTTTAGTGCTCCGTTCGTCTCTTGTTCTAGCTCGCGAATTTGGAACGCGAGAGTAGCAGGGAAGGCCGAGCCTCTGTACAACGGTGTTGATAATTCAAACGACAGGGTGTGTGGCACGGCTCACAGAACTCACGAGGTTTCTATGAATATTCTATCCGGATTGTACTTTTCTAAATGTTCCGACTTGAGCGTCAGGGTCAAGTCGAGCGTGATGTGTGGTGTGCGTGGATTGCATCAAACTTACATACCTCTTATCTCAAGAAGTGCGGTTTTCATCTGACCGACCAAGACACAGCACCTTGATGGATGTCATCATGGAAGTATAACATTAGTGATTAAGGATATGACGGACAGACACCCATTGAGGATCTCGTTAACCGCGGTCAAGCTGGACTGCTTGGCGAGTTGACTGTCAACTTGTACATCCCCAATTTCGTTCTTGAGTAAGCACGCCTTGTAACCCTTTGGCAAGGATGAGAGTAAACCAAGAATCGTTGTTGTCTTCCCAGCGCCTACGAAGCCTGTGAAGACAGTGATCGGTATAGGCATTGTAGACAAGAGAAGACGAGCAGAATGTATTGGAGGTGAAGGTTAAGAACTTAAGCTCATGGTACACAGAAAGGACTGTTTGATTTGGAAACGAGTCAAACAAAGGTAAACAAGATACCCATAGCCCCTCTTTCTCGTCGCTGTCGCCCGCCAACGCCCGCGCCCATTGTCATCGGTAACGGCCTCTCATCGACACAGACCCGCCATGTCGCATGCGGGTCGGCCGGACCTCAACATCACGGCCACCATATCCTCCGCGCTCGCCATGGAGCAGCAACAGCAACAACATCAGCAGCAGTCACCCCTCACCCCGCAGCACGACGTGCAGCAGGCACCCGGAGCGACACCAGGAAATCGCAAGCGTAAGAAGGCGACAGGAGAGGGCGAGGAGCCGGCAAGTGTGAGCGAACCGCGGCGGCTGCGCCGTTCGCACGAAGCATGCGCTCGATGCAGGAGCAAGAAAATCAAGGCAAGTGCCGTTCGGTTCAGACCGACTCTCCTCCGGCAAACTCCCTAACACTGCCCGACAGTGCGACTCCAAGCATCCGCGATGCACAGCGTGTGCGACGGCAGGCGTCCAATGCAATCAGGAGGACAGACACAGAAAGACCCTTACGCCCCGCGGCCACGTCGAGAAAATTGAGCGACAGCTTCTCCAGTGCCAGGCCCTTCTCCGCCGTCATATCCCTGGCTTTTCTCTCGAGAATATCGAGAATATTCTGATCCATGAGGGCATCGAAGTCGAGCCATCGAGCGAAGACTATACTGAGGCCTTTCAACTACATTCCGCTAATGGTGTTCACAGGCCGTATCATGAGGGTCCCCCTCCCCCCATGTCTGGGAAGGCATATCCATATCCTCCACCACACATAATGCATGGCTATCCACCCATGGGTATGGCACCACCACCTGGTTATCCACCGCCAAATTCCTACCCACCGATCGGCCTGGCACCAGGGTTGTATGATCCACGTATTCACCCTGCTTTCCAGCATCCTCATGCACCGCCGCCTCCTACTCAAACTCGCACAGACTTGGACATCAAGGGACAGGACCCACAAGCAAATGATATGTCAAATGATCAGGTATTTTCATACCATTGGATATTTGTATCTTTCTTAGAATTATTAACAACTATCATTAGGCTCTCGCGAAGAATTTCGGTGTCTCTCCGCAAATCGTATCCGAAGCAAAGATAGGCACTGTTCCTGTAGGAGCAGAATTGGAAGATCTTGCAGTTGGTTCCGGTGGCCTTTCATCTGGCCGTGATCGCGACCTGACAGAAACCCAACCTCCACGAGAAACAAAGAATTGGCACTGTGCCAAAATGCAGCACTTCAGCTCCATCTACCCACGTGGCCATGTCCGCGAGGTACCTGTGTGGCTTCCCAAAGATAGACAGCGAACTATGCACATCGTACAGGTGTACTTCAGCTATCTCAATTTCCACCGCCCTGTGTTGCAGAAAGAGAGGTTCACAAAACAACTGGATAACCTTTACGAAGGCACTCCTCAGACGTACGACCCCGGATATGTGTGCAGCTTGTATCTTGTCCTGGCACTTGGTACAATGAGTGAACTCAACAAAGCTGCATCACTGGACGAGTCTCTCGATACTAGTGTGAAGAAAGTCTTAGCGCCAGGCTGGCCAGAACATGAGGAATTTTTCGAGCGTGCTTTGGCCGTGAAACCGGATCTCAGGATGACTATTTCTAGTCTGCAGGCACTGATACTCCTGCACTGGTATTTGTACACAGAAGTAAGCACTTATGACCTTGCGTTTTCCGATCCTCGACTAACAGAAGATTTCGAACAGCGCCAACAGCGATCCCTATGGCGCTTAGTGGGGAGCCTGGTCCGAGTTGCTATTGAACTTGGGCTTCATCATAACCCTGTTCAACAAGGACAGACGTTCACGGACGAAGAGTCCCAACTACGCATCCGCTTGTGGTCTATTGTTATGATCCATGACCGCGGGACATCGATTCTCCTTGGTCGCCCTTTGGCCATTTCACCCGCTGATACGAGCACTCCGCATCCGTCCCGTGGCAAGCTCGTCGAGTTCTCAGAACACTTCTTTTTGTCTGCGCCAGTTGCCGAAATTCAGGCAGATATTGTAAATGCTCTTTATTCACCTACCCGTCACACCGAAGAAGCCATCATGCGAAACGCGACTCGGATTATTAAGAGCATGGTTGAATTCCGTAAGCAGCTCCCAGAAAATTATGCACACTTCTTTGGCGGAACGGAGAATTGGACAATGGATCAGAAGCAAAAACTCGTTGCGGAAATCACAGAAGATCAGGGGTTGTCACTTTTGAAGCTCGGCATCGCCAGAATCCTACTCTTGCGTGCGTTGTTTAGTTCCCATGAACTTCCTTATCCTCAGCGGCGGAAGGCCCTAACAGATGGTGGGTAGCCCTTTTGATTAACTTATTGTCCTTCGTAATTGATGGCTTTTCATAGCAATTGTTGCATCGCATAACATCATCGTCGTACATTATAGCCTCATCAAGTTCGCCGACATCGCGTTCTTCGTCTCACCCATTCCCCTGCATATAGCCGCTATGGTGATTTTGTACGGACAGATGTCTCAATGCGACCGCCTCCAACGCGATATCGCGATTGAGGACATATGGTATGCGCTTGACATGCTTCCACGATTCCGTTGGCGCTGGGAGCGAAAAGACATGAATGGCGGTCACCCACTTATCGAGAAACTCGCAGAGAAGGTGTTAGGACTCACCCTAAGTGAAATGAAGCACTCAGGCACACCTGTTCTTATTCCTGAGGACGATTGGGAAGCGAGTAGCCCAACTGGTGCTGGGTCGTTATCACCAACAGTAGGTCCGCTATCTTCTCCAAAGCATTCTCGCACGGCATTTTCCGGATCGTACGTCGGCGGCGCGAACTCGTCGAGTGAAGCGGATGGCAAGTCTCTCGCTGCGATTCCTGCTGGTTGGTTCTGGCCAATGGACCCAGAGAACCCGGTCGAACTTCCGCCCGAACAACCACAAATGGCTGTCCAACAACAAGTTCCTCCCCAGCCATACCAACCCATCGGCACCATCGGTTGTCAGCAATCCCAGGACACGTATATACTTGAAGAGAAAGACCCTGCTGTGACGAAGTCAATTATGCAAAATTACATGAATCGGGTACGTATTTTACCTCTGCACAGACATGAATTGTGAACTGTGATTACTCAATCTCTTGTCTTTGTTCCCTCTTCAGATGGCATGGCCTCATGGACATCCCGTTCCCGGTTCCTCTTAAAGGCCGAGTAGGTAGCTGAATGGCTAAGTATTTGGAAATTAACATGACATTACTTTTCCCCCTGTAGTAATTAGTTTGGTGTCACTTATGGTATTCCCTTTTCTTTACCTTCACACATGCTTACACTCCCCCTGTTTTTGAAATTCGATTACATTATGTAAAGTACGCTTCCTTCCTTGGAAAACAGGACAGGGTGTTTTTTTTTTTTTACTGTAGTTCTACCCCTTTTTCGGTTTTGGTCACTCACGGATGTCGATCGAACCCTATTGCAAGAACGAGCAAATGAAATTTATTTTCTTGAAGAAGGAAACATCGGATTGGGTTATTCAGTTAGGACAAGATTGGAGATACTACACACATCAAATTCAGTGATTGCGACAGGTGGGTTGGGTGGGTTAGCTACTACATCTGAGAAAGATTAAAAATGCAATGCTATGATGACAATGACAACGATATGTACACAACAATACGAAGCACAACAATAGTCTAAGGAAAGTAAGAACAGAATACCTATAGAGAATAATAATGAAATGACAACGCTGTTCCAAAACCAAAACAAGATGCACACGGGAGTAGGCTGTGAAGTTGGTGAACGAAAGCGCCCTGCTGTACATGCACCAGACGACCCAGCCAAGAGAATTATCGACATTGTTGAATATGGAGTTTTCGAGTTCCTATGCTAAAAGTACGACATCTGCACATCGCGGGTCGGCTCCTCGAATCGCAAACCAGACGAAAGCGGTGGTTCAGGACCAGGACCAAGGTTCGCTCCTGGACGATCGTCAAAAGTATTATTCTGTACCCCGAACGGAGGAGGGTACCCATTCGACCTATCTCGTCTCGAAGTCGGGGAAACAGCTATACCTGAAAGATCTGGTTGCGAAGGAGGATAGGAGGATAACTCTGTACTCCTGCTTCCGTCTGTCGTGATTTGTAATCCAAGTCCAGGAGGATGAGAATGAGGATTTGGAGTATGAGGGTGTAGGGCTTGCACTGGTGATACCGTATCGACCGTTGACGAACCATGAAGATTATTATTATTGTTGTTGTTATTTAGAGGCAGATCCTTGTCCCTGATCTTCCGTTTACGTGAAACGACGCCTTCTTTCTTCGCGCGAGAACGGGAGAAGCGAAGGCCACACCTATGTAAATACAAAGAAGACGGACGCGGATCAGGACACGGAATTCGTATATTGGAAGCCAATATTAACGTGTAAAAAGGACAAGGGCGAAAAGGGAGGGAAAAAAGAGAAAATTACACGCACGCATTACACAAATCCTTCTTCCCACTCGGACCTTTCCTCCATTCTGGACTATGCGTAATCTGACAATGCGCACACTGTGTTATGCCTGCAGGAGGGTTACCAGGCACTCTGCTACTACCAACGCCACCGCCAGCGTTCCCACCAACACCAACACCACCACTACGATCTCGACTTATCCGATCCTTGGACCTCTCAAGGTCATTCAGAGGACTACCTGACCCATCGCTCGCAGATGGTACGTGGTTCATGGACACAGAGGCTGAAGGAGGAGGGGGAGGAGGGTTTGCCACGCTGTCATCGGGTCTTGGCATGGGATGCATCGAAAATGATGTTTGGAGACGAGAGTCACTAGCTCGAGCAAGGAGAGGATGTTCGCCTTCTGGAAGTCGAAATTCGTTACGCCATGTATCCCCTAATAGAATCTCTATACCTGCAACAATCATTGTGAATAACAGCCAAAAAATAAATCTGACAATGATAACATAGTATTTACCTCTACGATTGTCCCAGCTGTGACTATCTTGCTTCACTTGCGCTTGCGTTCGAGATTGCCCATCAACCCATTGCTGAACATAATTTTGCGAATTCAGGTCCTGTTGTGCCGTAGCTAGCACTACGTTGTCGTATGCTTCACGTGCAGCACCAGCCTCTGGATTGTGCAGATCGATGCTGGTCTTTGGATACGGTAGTTGGTCTGCGTGTGTCTGGACCACGTGCTGTGTATGGTCGACACCTGCATAGGAATCGATGACTTTATGACAAGCAAAGATAACCATGCCTAATTTGCACATAAAAAATAAGCAATCAGTCGAAAAAAGATAGAATTACAAGGAACAGCTAACCATGCGGAATGAAGATACTTTCAACATGCATTAATTTCGACCCATTAAACGAAGGCAGCCTAACAGTCTGCACGCTCTTATACCTTCTCGTACAGCTTGTTCTCGCATCATTATCCTTTCCACTGCCACCAGAATAACCAATTTGCACATGTTGAGCAAGTTGTGCCAAACTATTAGCAATTAATACGGTAGGATTGGACTGAAATAATGTGGAATCAGGTGGCCACGAAAGGACCAGAGGTCGATCTGGCTGATTTCGCAGGATTTGAAGGATCCGAAGGGGAGACTCATACTCGAACCCGAATCGTCTGGGAACAGGGTGAACGTACTCGCACAGGCGCTGGAACAATACATGCGCTTCCTAATCAACGAATTGCATTAAGCGAAAGATAAGCGCCATCACAGTGGACATGAGTTACCTCATCATCAAAACCATAGGTGCTACACCAATTAGACCATCCCGTCTTGTGACGCTCGTCATTGTCAGCTTGGGGAGCGATGTCAACGACGGCATGAATGAAACAAAGAACGAGTCCGTCCGCGACGCAGTTCAGTACGAGGTAGACCGCCATGTAGTCTCCGTCGATTGCTATGCGTTCAGCAGGAAAGTTGGACGGATAGGGTGCAGAGCTGTCCGACCAGCCAAGAATCCGGCGGACACGACTAAGACGACAATATCTTACACTACCATATATCAAAAGATCAAAAAAAGTTTCTTCTGATTGAAGAAAGAAATCACTGACCGAGTTACGCTGCCATGTAGCGTCTGCTCCCCTAAAACATTCCCCAAATCTCTCTGAGCCGACTCAAGCTCATCCGGATGTACAAAATCCAATAAGGCATACTCAAAAATGCGCGAAGCCTGGTCGTGTAAATGATACCTAAGGACGGGATCAATAGCAAGGAACTGTAATGATGTATTCAGGAGAGCCCAGTCTACATAGGGCGGCGAGGTCGGATTCGCGTAAGTTCATCATATCCAAGAAAGGCATAGGTTGAGTGATTAACATACAACAACGGGTCTGGCCGACCTGAGGCAATTTTGGTGGTCTTGGAGGCTCGGAGGAGGACGCGGGAGAAGCAGCGCCTGCTGGGATTGAATTGGCCGCCGGGAGAGGGTGGTGGAAGTGACCTCCTGGGAAAGCGACCGGATGGGAGGAAGAGGAGGATGAGTTAGCTTCTGCGTGGAAATGATGTTGCGAAGAGGGATGATAGTGAGTAGCATGCGGTGAGTTAGGATCCATAGAGAACAAACAGATGGTCAGAGGTGGGTATAGAGGATGGTAAGAAGACGAAACAACGACATAGACGAAAGGCAAGGGGGCGGCGGTGATGAGCGAGCTGTGTCAGCGGGAGTGGACGGCAGGAGAGGGAAGGATGCAGTAGCCGTGTCTCAGAAGACAAGCGTCAGACGAGGGAGTTACGTAGACCTGGAGCAAAACTCGTCGGCGGAGAGCGATGCTTGGACGGACTGCCACGCCACCGCCGGGTTAGGAGAGTGAGTTGACGTGCTGGGGACGAAGAGGACGAGCGGACGCGGTAGGAGGACTGAACGGTCAATGGGACGGTGGCAGACAGCATGGAGGCCAAGTGGTGATCGAGGATCGGGTTCTCTATTTCCAGATCTCGGTCGTGATCGTCTACTTCTCCCGAGCTGCCTTCTGCCGACTAGGTGCCTGCTGTTCTTCGGTCTTGCTTTTACAAATTTAGTATTAGTTTAATTCAATAAAATACAAGCCTTGGAGAGTGCGAGAATCTAGTCCATGTGTAGTACTCGACTACGTTTTAGCAGGGCCGCGGAAAGACGTCAAAAGGGAGACGTTGGCCCACGTGGAATATCAGATAAGAAGTACAGGAAGCAAACTACTTGCTTGGTGGCGTTCATAGAATCAGAACCAGCTGGTGAATGAAGAGTGACGAACAAGGAAAACACTTTCCAACAACCAGTTAATGCGAAGTATTTCAGTAAATAGTAACAAATACTCCTAAATACTATGTGGAATGCAGTAGACGCATCATTCACCCGCATGTTGCACAATGATTGCACATGATATTGAAGGTAACTATGAAACTACCAGTATTGCATTTTAAGATCGTTAGGTACTCTAAAGTCTATGGGCAGTAAGTAATCACGAGTCTAGTTCTCCTTTCCGGCAAACATCTTCTTAATGGCTTCAGTCGAGAAGCTCTTCGGGCGCTCCAATGCTATCAAAACGAGTCAGAAAATCAAGCTGAAGGAAATTAGCTATCTGTGGTACTCACGAGCACCCAATGCACGATCCCAGATCAATTGAGCAGCAACACCAAAGGCACGTGATACACCGAAGAGCACAGTGTAGTATTGCATCTGGTCAAGACCATAGTAGGTTAGCAGAACGCCAGAATGAGCATCGACGTTCGGCCAAGGGTTCTTCGCTTTGCCAGCTTCAAGGAGAATATTTGGAACAATCTTGTAAACCTGGCCGACTAGCTTGAAGAGCGGGTCATCTGGGAGGTGCTTAAGGGCGAATTCACGCTGTGCTACATAGCGAGGATCGGTCTTGCGCAAAACAGCATGACCATATCCTGGGACTACCTGACCGCCCTTGAGAGTCGACCAGACGTACTCCTTAACGGCTTCGTCAGATGCATTTTCCCCTATCTTCGACTGCATCTTCCTCAACCATACGAGTACCTCCTGGTTGGCAAGGCTAGCATATAGTCAGTTATATATCCAGCAATGGCATCGACGAAAGTAATATACCCGTGAAGTGGTCCGGCAAGACCATTGAGAGCGGCGGCATAGGACAAGAAGGGATCAGAAAGAGCCGAGCCGACAAGTTTACCAGTGTGAGCAGAAACATTGCCACCCTCGTGATCACTTTCAAATATCAAAAATGATTAGCGACAGTTGCGAAAGCTGAGTGCAGCGTATAGGAATATCTTACCTGTGGATAGTGATGTAGAGGCGGAGCAGGTCAACGAACGCTTCATTTTCACTGAATCCAAGTAAGTGGGCCAGATTCCAGGAGTAGTCCTTTGTCGTGTCAATTGCAGGTACTTTGCCCTTCCCATAAACATTGCGGAAAATGCGGCCCGCAATATTCGGCAATTTTGCAATACTGGACACAACTCAGATACAGATTAGAAACAAAGAGAAAGTGTGCATACAGGTCCATGCAATCTTCAAAAGTGTGTCCCCAGTACTCTTTCTTCGAGATACCCTCGGAGTAGGCTTTTGCAAACGAGGAATCGTGGTTCAGCTTGATACGTGTGAGATTCAATGTCAATGAAGCATATGCTCATGAAGGACGGCCAGCTTACTGCAGTGACAGCCAAAGAAAATTGGCTCATTGGATGCAAACTTGTTGGGCATCTGTCAAGGAGCTCTTCAACAAACTCCGGAATAGCGGCACGCGCAGCCCAGTCCTTTGAGAGCTCCTTGGCTTGTTCTGCCGTCGGCACTTCTCCCGTCAATAGAAGCCAGAAGAGACCCTCGGGCAGTGGCTCCGATCCACCCGGCGCCCTCGGAAGTAACTCTTGACATTCTGGGATTGTCTTCCCGCGGAAGCGGATTCCTTCCTCTGTAGAAAAGAATCGGAAGATCATCGGGTGTTAGTTACAATCCACGACATGAGGTATTGAAAGGAAAGGTGGAAATAGGGAGGAGGTATTCGACAGGACAAGGATGGGAAAAAAGGAAAGATAAAAATATAACACTAACCAGCATCCAGTACCGACCCTTCCCAAATCAGAGCGGGAAGACCACGCATTCCACTGTAGAGTACGGGCAGTATAGTATCAAAGAAATGAACAGCAGTCATATTGTATCGCCATAATTACCCATAAAGCTGGTCGACTAGGACGGGGCCGAATGATTTTTTGCCATGCTCTACGCGAGCGGCTTTTACCTGAACAGGGAAAGGCATGAGAGGATAATAACTACAAGCAGGTGGCGGACGGACATTTTCAAGCTCCTTAGGGATGAGTTCAGAAAGGCGCTCCTTGAGAGTTTGTTGCTTCGCCGAGGTGGACGCAAAACGCGCCGTCGAGAAACCAGCTCGGGTCGGCACCTAGATTGAGAAACCGAAACTATTCAGAGAAAGTATCGCAACGTCAACAAAGTGGAAAAGTACCTTTCTGAGAGCAAGGCGGAGGGGGAGAGCCATTGTGAATGGGAGGTGGTGGTGGAAGGAAGAGAAGGAGTGCGGGAGGCAGAAAAATAGACTGAGAGAGACTGGGAGGATGTCATCACGCGTGACGTTCGCGTTGGGGATCGCCGCTGGCCCAATCGCCCGCCGCTCTGATCCGATGGGTTTCTTTCGCAATTTCTGCCGTCCAATCGGCTACTTCGTACCACCTTCAACAATGTCGCACAATCATTCGGACCACAGCGATTGTCATGATGAAGCTCATGACCACGACCACGACGATATATCGGAGACAGGCCCTGCAGACAATTTGTATCCTTACATTGATCTCCAGAATATTGTCGCCCTCAACATTACAGATGATACTCCCGGAAAGGCCGTAATCAAACCTTGGCACGAAAGGCAAGACGAGACTGTAGTATGTCACTATGTAGTTGTCGACTCGTCCGCTCGTTACACTCATGTAAACCTTTATAAAAGTGGGTTGAGAGTGACGCCGACGACCAAATGTCCGTATTTACTTCTACTTTGTTGAATTTATTGCACTTGCCAATCTTCCTACAGAATATTCCGCATACCATTCACTGGCTCAGTCAAACTTCGCTCTGTCCTCCTCAAGTGCGGTCCCGGAGAGCAAACTCCCGCCAGACTATGCCTTGTGTGTATATCCTCTTGAGCTCGTGCCTCATTGTCTTCCCCACCAATGATCTATATGCATACTTGAAAGTTCGCAAACGAGGATAACGTGGACTTCTCCGACATAGCGGAAAAAGAACCCCATCAGGAGTTTGCTGTACCCCAGTCTAGAGACATTGGAGAGTACGCAGTGAAGTATGTTCAGTGTCACTTCTACAATGTGAAAAAGGCTGTGTGGACCTGAATTCCATAGGGCCTCGAAATTCTCAAACCTATCTTCGTTGACCATCTTCTTCCCGGAAGCACAAGGCGGTGACAGTACAAAAGTATTCTATATTGGCTTAAGAGGCTCATGGTCTGCTGTAAGTCCATGAGTTATATCCTGCTCAATCCACTGATCGGGATTCACTATGCACTAAATATCAGAGGAAACGAGATGCTGTGATCACGGTATATGAATCGCAGGCGAATCTCGCTGACCACGAGAAGATTCAGGGTACAGATGGTGGCGTTAGTGCATCGCGTCTGGGCAGTTGATCTTCCGAATAACTGGGGGAGCATTTTCCCTTCGCTTCCGTGAACATTTCATATGCATACCTGCGCTGTTAAGTACTTATATCATGACGACTCGCCCGCTGAAGTGTACAAACACTGAGAATGAAATAAATAAATAATTTAATTGCACTAATCTTGCCAAACATGTACATTGTACTTGTGGTTTATTGAATCACGTGCCGCATATGATGACGCGTTGGGATGGTCCACGCAGCCATAAGATAAGTAACCGCGAAATATACTTTAACTGCATAAAGTACCACAACTTCCCCTGGAGTGTTTGTTCGTCTGTACGCTGACTAGAATGGACCAAGATACAAAGCCTAGCGATGATTCCGTTACCGCTCCGGACTCCCAAACTAACAATCCAACCGATCTGGTATCAACCTCTGATGCGCTAGCTCAGCCTACTTCTCAGCCAGATTCAGCCACCGCGGAACTCGAGAACAACAATTCAGAGACAAGAAAAGGTATACTTATTGTATACTTCCTTGAAACATTCTTATGAATTCTTCATATAGATACTACACCTTCACTGGAAGAAGGTGGTGACGTGAAGCCAGTTGACTTGTCTACTTTGGGCGAATTCGTTTACTACCGACCCTCGCAACCTCGCGTGGCGAAATTTGGTACATAACTAGCAGTTGTCACAGAGAACGATACTAACATTCTCGTTGTTACTATAGAAGACCTACCACCAGATTTTCTCGAGCCGACAGCGGACGATCTCAAGTCCGCACAAGCTTTACTCGCCTCCCGCTCCAGGTCATATCAAGATGCTCCTCTGCTCACCGAAAATCTACGAAATAGACGAGACGAAGAACTTCTACAAAAAAGGCCTACGGTATTTCCTTTAATAAATACTTTCTTGGAGTCGCAACGTTGCCTAATGGATTTCACAATCATGTATAGGCAACTATCCGGATACGGTTTGCGGATCGATCGATGCTTGAGAAGACGTTCCCTTCCACATCACAAATAAAGCCCGTTTATGCGTTTGTGAGAGGGTGCTTACGTGGGGACGCCAAAGCATATAAGTTCGTCCTGTGTAAGCCATTCTCAAGCTGTCCTGGTTACCTCACTGACATTTAACTTGTATTTTATTTAAGTTGAACCTCCTCGAAGGGACCTTAAGGTCTCGGATCCGAAGGTGAAGGAGAAGACTTTATTAGAATTAAATTTGGCACCTCGGAGTATGTTGCACTTTCGCTTTCTCGAGGATGATATAAAACTCGATCGTAAGCTGCTCACTACCCTTACCAAACCATATCTCCAATTATACTTTTTCACGTAGAATCAAACGGACCACCCCCATTACTACCCGAAATCCTTACTCGAGCCACCGATCTACCAGGGGCAGTATCTGAAGACACTCGAGCTTCGACCGCCGGTTCCTCAGAAACCTCGACCCCCAGCAATGCTAAGCTGACTGAGCCTATGAGTAAAGACAAGAAAATCGCCAGGCTGTTAAAGTTTGCTAGTACGTTCGATCATTTCCATTGAAATCGACACTGTTTGACCTCCTCGCCTTTTGTTATATCTGCCTCTGCTCATCAAAGAGGGGGGCAAGTGACTCAGCAGGGAATACACTGGTATTTAAATGTAACAAATTCAATGTATTGCATTGTTTGTACTTGCTTTGCTACAATTTGTACACTGCACGTTGTAAAACATCTGTAGGACGCGAGGAAGAAGTCATATTCCACGTGGCATCGGCGAGGCATGTCTGATGTATGAGGCAAGTAGAATCTCCTCCACGTCGCTGGACGTCATGGAATTGCATCACCTCGCCCAGATCATGATTGCTCGAGATTATGATAACCGATCTGTAGCAAGGTAAATTAGTATGTTGAAAGTTTTCAGGATAAATCAACGAAAAGGAGGAATCAGACGACAAAAAAAAATCCGCAGCGAGACAAAGCTCTTGGTAGTCTAACATGCTAATTTGACGATATAGCCAAGAGGGCCCATCATGTCTAGAAGTGAATGAGATGGATCGTTGCTCACCTATTGCGATGTGGTGATTGAATTGGTGTAGGTGGTTTAGTGAAAAGGTACAAACCGCGAGGCGACGTCGTCATTCGCAACACGTGATCACCTGCCCGCTTCTTTGATGCAAGCAGGCATGGATTCTCCACCCCATAAGTACACTAGCACTGATCTAGCAGCTCGCCATGCCTATTCGCCTTTCTACTGGCTTGTCTTAACATTAGTCTGTCTCCTGCTTGCTGCGGTCTTTCATCTCAGTCTGCTTGTTTTGATATAGACCAGTCTCTGACTCGATTTGATATTGTACTTTAACTCGTGCTTTGACCTGCTCGGCACAGCTGCTCTAATGTATAACTCACGTTCTGTCCGCCAAAGACCCAACGCTCTCTCATTGTACCCCCTCGGTCAAGGACCCGACATCTCTGTGTCCACGTCTTCCTCGAAGGAGACCAGCGAGCCCATAACGCCGATTGAAGCGGATGAACAGTTTATTGACAGGCTATGGGAGCAAGTCCGTTCAAGGGCAAAGGGTTCTAGCGATGACGCCGTACCAGTAGAAGAGGGCAAAGACAGGGCAAGACCGGTCGTTGATCAGAATAAAGTGGAGGTCCCTAAACCGTTGGAACGTCGACTTTCGCGTCGTTCATCACTGTGGGTAGTCTATTCGTATCCTAAAAGTCTAAATTGCGTTCATATCTGAAATTGAACTTCGAAAGGAAATTCCGTGATTCTCGGGATGGCAATACTACATTCGCTATCTTGAACCTGCCAGGCGTCCATAAATCCGATGTACACGTCAATTTCCAGTACAAGCGCCTCATCGTCTCTTACAAATCGGTGGAAGAGTCAGAGACATGGGAGTCCGATAAAGTCATTCAAGAGACGAAGGAAAGACGGGTTGTACGTGCTATACCCATACCTGAACACGTTCGGGTGAGTCATGGAAACTTCTGCGTGAAGCACTCACCAGTCTGACAAGTCTCTAATCATAACACAGCCTCATCACGTCCGTGCATCAATGATGGAACAACGCTTGTTTATTTCATACCCGAGATGCGCAGGATAGGACTCGGCGTCAAACTCGGGACAATATTTTCTAGCATCTTTGGACGTCCTGTAAATTGAATACAACCGCTTTGCATCTGTTGCTCCTGTACCGATATCCTGTATAATTATTATTACATTGTCGTTCCAGCTACAGTTCTATATGTGTTACGAGCGGGTCCCAAAGCCCTTTGTTCCCCCGTGTATGGTATTCGATCGACATCACCTCTTTAGTTCCTTAGATTCCATTTTTCCTTTTATAGTTGTATACCTTGACAAATGGAAACACAACACCATACCAACACAACGTCCTCTGAACGTCTGTCCATGGGTATCCTCTCATTGCACGAGTGCACGAGCAAGAGGCTGTACAACATGAAGCAGGTGTTAACTGAACCGATTGGTGCCCATGCTGGTTAAATCTGTGCAATATCTGTAGTACACAATAGACCAGTGGATCAATGTTTTTTTCCAGGTTTTCTTTTTACTGCCTTCTCTCATACAAAAGCCAATGTTCATGTGCAGATAAGGACCCCTCACCTGACTTCTCCTCATACCCATGCCTGTTACTACTATCTACTATTGTTTAAAATTACCACCCACCCTTTTTAGCAGATGTACCAATATCACTAACATTCTGTACAAGTTTCATGTATGGTATTCTACTGGTAGACTAAGTAAGAACATTCTTATACACAACACAGCGAATTCCCACCATGCTCAAACTAAGTTTACATTATCATAGTCTCTACTCGCTTTGTGTCTCGAGGAATAATTCTACACTTGAAGGCCTTCGGATACCTAACCATAACAGTTTCATTAGTAGGCTAGGAATTGCCTGCCAATAATTGTACTCACGCTACTAGCCCATCACTATCAATTTCGAATTTCGGAATCTCGGCCTTTCCAGTATTCGGATCAATGCAAGGCAAGATATCAAATAATGAAAGTACGTTCACTGCAGTCAGCCAGAGAGTTGAGTCCGCAAGATATTTGCCAGGGCAAACTCTAAAGAACAGAATATTAAGGAACACTGATATACACAGACAAGTTTTTAATAACCTTCTGCCAAAGCCAAATACAATGTTACTGGGATCATCATCCACACTAGTGGAGATGCCTTTATTGGATAAGTCAGAAGGAATGTTCGAGTTAGCCATGAAATTTGCCATGTGGCGCTCAGGTTCAAAGGCATCCGGATCCGGGAAACTCTTTTCGTCTCTCATCATGCACCTGAAGACTATAAGTGGCATTTGAGTAGTACACGAGTAACTCCTCGTACCATATGTTTGTGATTATCATTGATCCTTCAGGGATGGTCCATCCACGATATTGCTCTGCCTTCGTAGATCTATGTGGAAGACCTGCGAATGCGCTAAGATGCACTGGAAGGTCCAGAAAAAATGGAATAACAAACCAAGAGGTGCAACGGTGTGAATTCTAGCAAGTGTAAACATTGGAATGTTGCGTGTAATTGACTAATGGAAGTTCCACAGACTTACCGATACAACTCTTTCAATACGCAGTCGAGATACGGTAATGAGCCTCTGTCTTCAATACAAGGAAACCGGTCTCTTCCAACGACTCCATCAATTTCTTCCTGTGCCTTTTTTGCAACATGTGTATGAATGGTCATTAGGAGGAAGAGTGCCTTGAGAGCAGAACTAGTCTGAGGCGAATAATCAAAGTGAGTGTGTAAGCAATCTCGTCATTGGAGAATTCTCAGATGCATACCGTATCTGATCCAGCTATTAAAAGAAATGATAAGGACGTGCAGGAATCATGCACATCGAAAAGATCCTCTCACCAGCGTAGACAGTCAATCCGACGTTCATAATATCAATTTCATGATCGGGATCGGTCGTATCTATTTCTTCGTACTGGTTGAGCAGATCGGACATTATGCACGAGGGAATAGTGCCTTTTGCCTGTAAATCAGATGCGCTTAGGATTCCTGCACCGTTGTAAGTCCGACAAGCAACAACCCCTTTTTGCTTTTAGCTCCACTAAGGGTTGCATCATAGCTCGATCAGTCAGCTCTCGGGCTTTTGGAATGAGCCTCTTCACACCCATTCCAGGTAACCAGGAAGGTGCGTAACGCACTGTAAGGGTATGAGCAATACAGTACAGGTATAACATCAGGTGCTCACTGAACGGGAAAATGTCGAGAATTGTTGTCCCGATGTTACCAGAACTTGTCAAAGCATGCATAGCATCCTCAGCAAGCTCGACTAAAGGATCGGATTCTGCTACCACTTCATGACCATACGTTACTGATACGACAATGCCAGAAACTAAACTAGAAATTTGGTTAGTCAAGTCTACCACTACAGGAAGGTCTAATTACCTGTGTATATGCGTGATGAGATCGCTCGGGCTAGCCAATAGGCGTCGAAGGAATCTTCGAAGTTCGCGATCTTGCACAGGCCTGAATGCCGAAATGGCCTGAGGACCAAGGTAATGACGAAAGATTCGGCGATGCTTTCGGAAACGTGGGCCATAACGAAGGTTCGGAAGGACAAACTCCCATCCCATCCTGTAAAGCGTGTCAGCGTTCCGTTCATGGGACCATAAGAGGTAGCACCCACTTAAAGACCACCGGCAGGTTTGGCCTGTCGGAGAAGACATCGCTTCTCTTCTCTAAAAGATCACGTGCTGCAAGAACCGAGTTAAGGATGACAAAGGACCGGCCAAAAGCCTGAGTGTAGATAACGTCGCCTACTGCTCTTCAGCCTTGAGTAACACAAAACGTTAAAATAACGAGCAAACCATATTCTTCCTTCCACTTTGTGTATGTCTCCCATCCTCTGACAAATGGGATTCTTCTCGTGTGCCCAATCAATATATCACTCGGGGGGCTGGGGGGCAAAAGAAAGGCTGCTGAACGTCCTCTTGAGTAGACGATGTAAGCGGATGCGATAGCAAGACTTGCGACGGCGATATCCCATACGAGAGACATGTTTGTTTGCAATCGAAACTGTAAGATGGCGTAACCGACTGTCCATCCTTTATACTGTGAGGACTGAAGATGCTCCACTCTGCGTCATCCAACTGTGTAAGTAAACAATCACAATTTCAAATACTATGATTCTATACAGCCATAGGAAAGGAAATGCGGTGGAGATTACAATTGTGCCTTTCAAAGAACGGATGTGTCGCAGATCAGAGGAGACAGGCAATGCACCACGGAAGCACCTGCCACTTTTTTTTATTTATGTGAAGCCAATACAAAATATCATAATCTATATATAGTCTGCTAAGACGTAGAAGGGAATACAAATGTTTACTTGATTTGGTGACGAATAGCCTCTTGAATAGAGAAAGTAAGTGAATGCAATAGCAAGCATTGCAGCAGCAATCACTTTCCAACTATAAATGTAGTCTCTCAAACTAATCTCAATTTTCCAAATCTGATATTAGTAGCAGGAACACCTTGACAAGAACACTTAAGAATGTTACCTTGTGGACCTGAGAGCATTGAGTTATAACAATATAGTCACATTGACTCCTTAATAAGTAAGGGTACAATGAAAGTTCCTAGAAACAAAATGTCAAAGGTTGTAGCTTGAGACTCTGAAATCATAATAAAAAGGAAACTGCCTTTGCATTCACAATAACATAGTAGTGAAGAAGTCAGACAGAGCAAACAGACTACAAAGATATCCTGGCAGACCAATTTAGTTATTATTACTAAGTACAGCTTTCAATGTATTCTGGTTGAGAATGCTATGATACACTGTGCCGTCAAACCTTTCAATGTTTGAACTAAAGTCCCATTATCATGGTTTCCACTTGCTCTCTGTCTCGCCGAGGGACAATTGTACACTTGAAAGTGTTCGGATGCCTGCAGGTTGTTATCCTATTTAGCAGGGTAGAAATTGTTTATTAGTGGGTTGTACTCACACAATTACCCCATCACTATTGAGTTCAAGTTTCGGAACCTCGACCATTCCTGTCTTCGGATCTATGTAGGGCGAGATATCGAATAACGCAAGCACGGTCGCCACAGTCAGCCAGAGAGTTGTGTCTGCAAGATATTTGCCAGGGCAAATCCTAAGAATTGAAAATAAAAAATTGTGGATACATGCAGGTGAAATTTGACGACCTTCTGCCGAAGCCGAACACCATGCTACTGGGGTCATCGTCCGTACTAGCGGAGACCCCTTCCGCTAATTCTTCGGAACGAACATCCAAGCTAGCCATTACATTTGCCATGTGGCGCTCAGGTACGAAGGATTCCGGATCTGGGAATATCTTTTCGTCTCTCATCATGTACCTGAATGATCATAAGTGTTATGCAAACAATGTGCAAGTATCTACTCGCACCATATGTTTGCAACAATCATTGACCCTGCTGGGATGGTCCATCCACGATATTGCTCTGCCTTCGTTGATCTATGTGGAAGACCTGCGAATGCGCTAAGATGCGCTGGAGGGTCCAGAAAAAATGGAATAACAAACCAAGAGGTACAGCTGGATGGATCCTTAACAAGTGTAAGCATCAAAAAATTGTGTGTGATTGGCAGGTGGAAATCCCGAAGACATACCGATACAGCTCTCTCAATACACAGTCGAGATAAGGTAGGTCGCCTCTGTCTTCAATACGAGGTAAACGGTCTCTTCCAACGACTCTATCAATCTCTTCTTGGACTTTCTTTGCTACATCTGAATGAATTGTCATCAACAGGAAGAATGCCTTGAGTGTTGAACTAGTCTGAAACGAATAATCAAAGTGAGTGTGTAAGGAATCTCGCCATGGGAGGGTTCTCAGATGCATACCGTATCTGATCCAGCTGTTAAAAGAAATGATAAGGACGTACAGGAATCATGCACATCGAAAAAATCCTCTCACCAGCGTAGACAGTCAATCCGACGTTCATAATATCAATTTCATGATCGGGATCGGTCGTATCCATTTCTTCGTACTGGTTGAGCAGATCGGACATTATGCACGAGAGAATAATGCCCTTTTCCTACCAAGCACATGTGCTTAAGATTGCCTGAGTCATTGAAAGTGCGATAAGCAGCATACCCTCTTTGCTTTTAGTTCTTCTAGAGGACCCAGCATAACACGATCCGTGAGCGCTCGAGCTCTCGGAATCAGTCTCTTCACTCCCATTCCAGGCAGCCAGGAGGGTGCATAACGCACTGTAGGTGTGTAAGCGAGACGACCAGCAATTGATGTTAGGTGTACTCACTGAACGGGAATACATCGAGAATTGTTGTCCCAAAGTTGCCGGAACTTATCAAAGCATGCATGGCTTCTTCAATGAATTCGACAAAAGGATCGGGTTCAGTCACTACCTCATGACCATACGTTATTGAAACGATCATTCCAGAAATAAAACTTTAGATGTGGTTAGTTAGGTTTATCCGTACAACAGAATTACTTGCCTGCGTATGTGCATAAAGAAGTTATCCGGACTAGATACTAAATGCTGAAGAAATTTCCGAAGTTCGCGATCTCGCGTAGGGCTGAAGGCTGAAATTGCCTGAGGGTTAAAGTATTGATGATAAATCCTGCGCTGCTTTCGGAAGCGTGGGCCATAACGAAGAAGCGACAGGGCGAACTCCCATCCCATCCTATAATGTATGTCAGTGATTGTTTCACAAGTTTCAGAATAGTCAGTGCGCACTCATAAACCACGGGCAAATATGGTCTATCGGAGAAGACATTGCTCCTCTTTTCCAGAAGGTCACGAGCTGCAACGAGAGAGTTAAGGACAACAATAGATCGACCAAAGGCTTGAGTGTAGATGACGTCGCCTGCTATCTTTCAGTATCGAGCATAACAAATCGTTAGATGACGAGCGAACCGTAGTCTTCTTTCCACTTTGCGTATACTTCCCATCCTCTGACGAATGGGATTTTTCTTGCGTGTCCGATCAAGAAATCCTTTGGAGGGCTCGGGGGCAAGTGGAGGGTCACAGAATGGCCTCTTGAGTAGAGGAAGTAAGTGAACGAAACGGCGAGCGTTGCAGCGGCGATATCCCATACGAGATACATATTCGCTTGGGGTCAAATCTGTGAGATAGGTCGACTGACTATCCTGTCCCTTATATTTCAAACGGACCAAAGAGGCTCCGCTCTATACCACCTAATGTATAGTCACGTCTTTTCCCGGTGATGAAGCGCACTTCAAATTCCAGTGCTCCATATAGGCATGGAAGTCGGAACTTACGGCACAGTGGATCATAAATCAGATAAGGCACACGGCATGCATGAAGTTTGCCCACTCGACATGTAGTAGAGGAGAAGTTGATATTCTAGCGCGTGAGTTGCGGCGTACGGGCGTACGAGTACGGTGTAAGAAGCAACCCACACAAACCGAAATAACACTACAGACAGACATTGCCGCGCTCTGCAGAGCCAAGGACTGAAATTTTAATCTGAGTTATTCAGTTGAAGTTATTGATTTATATCTATTATAAAAATAGCTTTGATGTAAACAACTGAATGTGAATACGCAGCAATGCGTACCTTACTGTAATCGATGGCACAATGGCACAATGGATCGATGATAGCACTTTGGGCATATAATGTTGAATTCCGAAAAAGTGATGGGATGCATCGTTTAAGAAGCCTTGGGGTCAGAGAAGCACCCATTTTTCAGGAAGTCGCACATTGTTTAGTCAAAGACACAGAGTAATGAAAGCCTCAAGATGACCTGTTAGAATTTATCGTCGTCGAAAAGACAGTTTTGGCTTACCTTCCTAACTTAGGTAACCATTACATAAAACATATGACCATTCAATTTACCACGACTTTAAGTTGTCCACACTGACTTCTCGACACATGGAGAGTTCAAGTATCATGCCTGTAAATGAAGACGAAAACAAATCTACACCTCATTTCATGCGTATCACGAGCGGAGGTAAAATAAATTTATGGGTGGACTTTGCTTTAAACTTCCTTCGTGTACGCATTTATCACTACAATTGTACTCAAGTCCATTGACCACCATTTAGGAACACCCTGGGCAAGCTCTGGTTTTACACACGATGGCAGCCGATCCTTCCCCAACTGGAGACTCTGTGGAGCCAGTGGATACCACCGCGAAAGACTCCGGAGCCGCAAAAGCAGTCTCACAATCTGTTCGCAACATTCCACGTCTCATATCAGTCGTGGAGATAATCAAGCGGGAATACTTCAAGACGCTACCTCCTGGACCTGAGAGCACTGGATTACATCAGTATAATCACCTTGGGTTCCTCGAAGAGCGCGAACTAAATTCAGGCTACGAAGACGCGGACGAAGAATCACGACAAAGAGGTATCACAGCGGCTCTTAAAGGGCATAACTTGTGCGTACATGAGTACTATACAGCACATCTCCATATTAACCGGACCGATTTCCATGTAGTCTCCGACAAGAAAAGACGCCATACATGAAAATAACTTTATGTGCATCCACCTTGCCAGAGGTAGAGGAACAAACGACGTAGGCTTCATGTTATTTCAACGGAGACACCTTCTAATCATCCTCAAATATGGTAGGTGGCAGCGTCCTGCGGTGAAGAAGCCGTCCAGATCAGCAAAAGCCAGACAGAGGCGTCAAATGTTCAAAACCTCTGCAAAAACGTCTATCGAATCATGACGGATTTATGATTTCATACCCTTATTTCCGTTTCATTAGTTGTTTTTAGTATAAGTACTTCACTGTCAAATTATATTATTTTGTTGGAAGGCCTTCCGTAACCCCGTCGACTGAGCGGTCTCAGCCTGTATCTCCTACTAGTGACGTGACGTGATGCGACGCGACGCGTCAAGCTTGTCATCATTTGGCCTTTAGCCCTCACGATGTTCATTGTTCAAACTCATTCATGAACAGCAATGGCGACCGCACCGGGAGCACCAGGAGCAACGACAGCAACACCAACACCAAGGCTAAATGGAGGAGAGACAGTAGCTCAACCTGCACCTCCAGAATCCTCACATAATCACTTCAGTCCAGGTCAATTCCCTCACACAAATTCTATACTAGTACTTTCCTCCATCTCATGCTGACCAAAGACCGTAGGCGACAAACCACCAACACTCCCCTGGCCAGATATCGGTCACCTAGCCAAATGGTCCGTATCATCCTACAAATTTGGTTTCGGTCCAGAATGTCTCCGAGACGGGGACCCAGATACCTTCTGGCAGTAAGTAAGCTATTCCCAGGTTCTTTCTTATCATCTGCTACTAGTGTGATCTTTATTCATATAATCAGTTCAGATGGAGCTCAGCCACACTCTGTCTTCATACAGTTTCCTCGTAAGACTGCTGTTCAGGTTCGTCTCCTCTCTCTAAGTCTGCATAAGCTCAATTTTCCTTATGCTCATAAAAATATACAGAAAATTAGTTTACACCTAAGTTTCCCTCTGGACGACTCGTACACGCCTTCCACGATCTGCCTACGAGCAGGTACGAGCCTCGGCGACCTGCAAGACGTGCGCGTGGTATCGCTCGACAAACCGAATGGCTGGATCACCTTTGACGTTTCTGCCGAATTGAATGAAGAAGGGCAAGAATTGTGAGTATTGCGGCTTCAATCAGACGTATCAGTCTCTAACAGTTCCGAACAGCAAGCCAGTGTATTGCTACGTTCTACAAATCATCATCCTGGCGAACCACATGAATGGGAAGGATACTCATGTCAGAGGTCTTCGTATCCTTGGTCCGTTAGAGTAAGTGTTCATCAGCCGAAAACTAACGGCCAACTAATTCCATCATCTTTCAGAGAATCAACACATGAAGACGACCCATTCCCATTCGTTTCTCCCCGGTTCAAAATGTTTGAATGTATTCGATAGTAATAATCTGCACCAATAAACACAGTAACGACAATAAGGTATCATTTTAAGAAAATCTCGTCTCGGACAGATCCTTCCACGGTTACAACAGGAAGGAAGGCAAAATAAAATCGATCTGATCATACCAGGAATAGTCAAGGAGCCTTTTAATATAGCAGAACGAATAATGAAGCATACAACAAGATGAATAAATTAATTATGCGGGTCTATGTTTGTGTTTATGGATGGTACGAAGCCGGATTGCTGTATGATTTCTGCTGGGATGGGGGATTATATGGCTGTGGAGACTGACTAGTCTGCGCTGGATAATAGGGTACAGGGCCGTTCGTCGCTATGCTGTGCTGTTGTCGGAAATCCGGGGAATGTCGATTAGTGGCACCGTTTGTGGTCCAAACGGATTGCTGTAGAGGTGGGAGCTGGTAGGCGCCGCGTTCCACACCTTGACTAGAATAAGCATTGTTTTGAGGTCGTGCTTCCCAAGCAGCGGGCACGCCACGACCCGCTACAGAAGGGTAGGTGGGATTTGCAAGTGTGCGCGGGTGTTGTGCATGCTGTGGGTGAAGAACAGAGGGGTGTGGAGAGAACCCGCGTTGTTGCGGCTGATAATGTGCGAAGCCTGCGAAAGACGATGATCCAGGAGAGGTATGGTGCTGTCGGGCGATCATATTGATTGCAAGAGGATTCGCAGGCACGCCATTAACTGCAGCCGGAGATCCATTCATGTACATAGGGGACGTGTTGCGGCTTCCAGAATGATGTTCAGGAGCATTGCCATTCGAAGAGGTCCGTGGAGTTTGAGAGGCATGCGCGGGTATATTGACTTTCTGCAATGCGAGACAGCGTCTGCAGAAGAAGTCGACGACGTCCCAGTTGCGCAGCCGTCTTCCGGCTTTCTTGTCGACAGCATCGTGACAAGGAATGTGTTGCCATTTGTTGCACTTGCCGCAACTCATTAACGCAATACCTTCAGCCTATAGTACAATAAGAAACGGCGCAGCAGAGATTAGGGAAATGTCAAACCTTGTTAATGCCTTTCGAACCACAAATCTCGCAATCGAGTTCCCAGTCGCCTGTCTTGGTCCGCTTGTTGGCTTTTGTACCGCCACGAGGACGGGAAGTCTTCGCTGAACCAGAACTAGAGGGAACATTCTGGGGCTTAGTTGCATCGCTGGACTCGGGCTGTGACTGTATTTCGACTGGCTCGTCTTCCGTACTGTTGAATGGCGTCAGCATACGCGCCATCAAAAGAGCCCAAGGGCAAATCAACAAGCTAATAACACTCGCCTTTCGCGCTCCAATCGACGACTCCTTGCAAGTTCGCGTTCCTCTCGCTCCTTCCGGCGCTGCTCCCGTGCCTGCTCGCGGCGTAGTCTTTCCTCCTCTTCTCTTCGGGCACGCGCCTCGAGACGTCTCATTCGTGCCATCTTCTCGTCTTCTTCCGCCTGTCTCGCGGTAGCCAACCGTTCGGCTTCCTTCTCCATCTCTTTAATAGCAATACGCGACGACCGCTTTCTATTCATGAGCGCATCCTCCTTTGCACGCTGCCTCTCGATCTCCTACACGAGGTCAGTTATACAGGGGACATTGTCTAGAAGAAAAAACTCACGAGAAGGTTACTAGTGACGTATGGTACGATTTCTTGTACCAATATTTTATGCAAAGCCTTCTCCAGATAGTGCGTTGCCTTCTCAAATCTGTGTGAAATGGCCTCCCATTCTTCTAAAGAAATGCACAGCTAGCATGCAGAGTCCAGAAGTCAATAGCTAAAAATTTGAACTAGAAATTGATCTTACCGTTTCCCACTCAACGAAATCAGGCGGTTGGTCTGTAGCGACATCTGGCAGATCATCCATCTTGACGTCCGCGTCCTTAGCTGCATCGGCAGCGGCATCTGAAGGTGTGTCCGCACGAGTAACGTCGTCCCGGTCATTCGAAGATTCCAAATCGGAGAGCTCCGTTAATTCGCTTTCGTCATCGCTCTCTAATCCCGCGTCCCGAGCTATCCTATTCCGAGCTGAAGATCGCAACGGCGGGGTTTCTTCTTTCTTCGGGCGAGCTGGTATCTTGATTCTTGTACTTGACCTAGTTCCAGATGCTCTCGTTGGTGAAGACTTGTAGCCAGCTTCCTCGTCCTTAGGTAGCCATTCTTCTGGTATTTCCTGCCATTCGTCGTCATCGTCATTGTCTTGTCGACCACGCAGTCGGCGGCTGACCCTGGTGCCAAGTGTTTGATGGTTAGATGCTTTAGACGGTGAAGTCCTACCGCTTGATCTACGGTTAAAAGATTCCATTTCGGCCTTGGCAGCTGCAAGCTGCTTGGCCTGTAAGTCTAACTTTACATTGGCCTGTGTTTTTGCTGCTCGAGCCCTTCCATTTAACGACACCGCAGAGGGTTCATCATTGATTCCAGAAGATTGGCGAGAGCCACGTCCGGATTTGCGGGGCGTACTGGCTTGTTTTGGCCGAGTAGACTTGGAAGTCTTCCCCGTCCGTGAAGACTTATCAGTACCTTCTGACTTCGTTTTTTCCGTGTGCTCAATGCGCCGTGCTTTTGTTTTGCGTGAATTATCATGCGAGACTGCTTTGCGCTTTCCCGTCTTTTTTGGAGGCTTCGGAGGACTGCGTTGGATCCAAAGACGATCCACTGAGAAAAAAACTAAGTACAGCGCACCATTTACCAGCTGATAAAACTCACATCCGATATACCAATAAGCATTCCTTTTCGCATCGTACCCAATCGGTTCTATCCGCTGCATAGATTGATGTTTAGCATTGAATGCTTGCATTATAAAAGGGAATACCTACCCAGCTTGCGTTATCGTCATCACTACGCATAATAGACCTTAATCGCAGAGGATTTTGAAAGTGCCATTCCGTAACCAGGTGGATGCTATCTAGCTTCTCCAGCATCGAAAGCTCAGCCCAATCCTTGATAGAGCCTTGCGCATTTTGCTCATTCTCGCTCTCCTCGTCATCCTTGATGACACCGACGCTCGTATGACGTGACGGGTGCGCACTCTCATTAACAGCATGGTCAGGCTCCGGCTCCTCAACATTACCTCCGTCTTCCCCATTCACAATTTTGTTTTCGTCGACAGATTTGTCTTGTTCGTTGCCTCCAGGGGGCTCATGTTCGTCTGTCCAGGACGACTCACGCTCCTCAGATTTAATTTCTGCTTCTACAGTTGCTGCTCGTGAGTTACGCGAGACGATAGGTTCAACGCCGATGGGATTAGCTGCGGGATCTCTTCGTAAATATTGCCGCCTGAGGGCGGGCTGCCAATTTACCACCCTAAAAGAAGATGGAACTTTCATTAGGAAAAAAAAAGGCCGATACCATGAGAATGTGACGTACGATATCTTCCTATCTTGAGTCAAAGTGACGAGTAGGCGTTGCATAAGGCGGGGAATGACAATCATCGTAGAATTTACAAGATCCTCCTCAATATCCTATAACATAATTTGATAAGATTGATCCTCTACGATCCAAACGCATAAATGTCACATACCACGAGAGATACATCCTCTAATGCAATAAGCTGAGCAAAGGTACAGAAGAACTGGCTGAGGGCAGCCCATTTCCACTGGCGCCTAAGCTCGAGGAGCTGTGGCGATGCTGTTGATGCAGGCTGGGCGACGGCAAGACGCCTTGGAGGGGCAGGGGAGGCGGAAGCGGACGCGACTGCTCGCGTTGACGAGCGAGTTGCCATTCAGGAGCGCGTTCTGACGCGTGTCTAGGTCGGAGATCCACGGCTCAGTTGAACCGTATTTGCCACTCGATTCGTCCGTGCGTCGCTCAAAGGCGGCTCACACAAATACAGTTCCCAAGAAGATGTACTTGACAATAGAGGGTACTAACGTAGATGACGATCAAGAAGAGGCCTCAAATTGCGAGACGGGATGCGTGCCCGAAGTAGATGAGCAGGACGAGATCACCTTCAAGTCAGTTGAGCCGCCGCAGAGACAAACAAACCGGATGACCGTGGGAACAGAATACCCCCTATTGGTCATGACGCGTACCGCACTGTACACGAGTTACACACATTACACAAGGTCGGATGTAATGTCGTCTAAAGATACTAACAATTCGGACCATGTTCTAATTGTATTTCGTAGTTCATTTGTGCTGAATTGATATACAAATTTATTTTCAGATACAATTTCAGTCATCCATCTAAGTTACCTCTGCAGATCTCCAGCAGCGCCTCGCCAAGAACCTCGAAGTCCCCAACCTGATAGATGAAATAAATTTAGTAAATCCAATTCCACATCCAAAAAGGCAAGCCCGCCGGGAATAAGCATACCTCGTTGAAGATCTGCGCACTGCATCTAACCCACCACTTGCCATTGTGATAGTAAGGCTTGCCATTCACGTTTTTCCCATCGAGGCGCCTCATGATATTTGACATTACCTTATCCGAGCCATCTGCATTGAGTGGAAGCTGGACATTTACCTACGAAAAAAGTAATCAGATACTTATTAGTTATAATTTAGGGAAGAAGTATATTGCATTACCATGTTTGCAGTAAACTCGCCGTTCTCGTCCATAACCCGTGTGCCCAAAATCTCTGCTAGCCTTCTCCCACCAGACAGTGCTAAATTATGACAGTAATCATTTATCTTATGTTCTCCTCCAACCCATTGGCGGAACTCCAGGGCTAATTATCGCAGCAGATAAACGTACAAGGCCATAATCTGAAGAAGGAATACATACCGTGACTGACACTCAGATATGGTGCCCAATCTATTGTTCCTGCCCCTGATGTACGGATGAGCTTGCATAATGGCGAAATGTTGACTTGACAAAACGCCTCACACATGAATTGATCTGGGTAATTTGGTGGCTTCGGTCCACCCGGAGGGTCGGTCGGTGACACATAGTTAGACGTGGTGGGAAGCGTAGTTCTAATAAGGTCTTGGTTTCTACAGAGGGAGAAAGGGTACGTTAGAAGACGATCGAATTAAGCAATTAACTTCCATACCGCTTGGCAACGTATAAAACAGCGCAAGCTCGTTTCGCATAGAGCCATTTATGACAGTTCTACGTTAATGAATGTAGAGTCAAGGATATGATCTCAGTGCCAGCTGAGAATCGCCTACAGATATCCAAAAGTCTGGATCTGTTTCTCTCAGGTTGATATCAAGTTCTTGACCAATTGAATGGGCGGCATCGACGACGCTCAGTACACCCTCTTCTCTGCAAATCTTTACAAGTTCTTTCCAGGGAAGCAGGACTCCGGGCGTGGAAGATATCGAATCGATCACGGCCACGATCTAGAGTAGTAAGAGTTAAATCGAAGACGTATAAACTGTGTGCCTCAAACCTTCCGGTCAGGTTGACGCGGGATACTCTTGAGGTGTGCACGAAATCCATCTATGATAGCAGACGGTGTTGTTGGAAAGTTCAGTTGAAACGGAACATATTTGGGATGTGGCGGAACGTCCGTGATGTACTGGATTGTTCGAGCAACTGAAGGATAAGTCACAGAAGCTATAGGTATGTACATAATAAGATATGAGAGCAATTAAATTATAAAATCTAGAGAGTTCCTTACTTTTCACTATTATGTCTTCTTTCTGCCAAATCAAGTTACGCAGGACAGTATTGACACCATGAGTTGCATTGAACACCACGACACAGTCATCCGTGTCTGCGCCGATTAGTTCTGCAACTTTAGCTCTGACCGTATTTAACAAAGGGACGTAGGTTGAACGGTAAAACCGATCAGGATTGGCCTCCGCTTTGCGGGATATTTCCTCGCATGCTCTAAGCACAGGTAAAGGAAGGGAGCCATAGGACCCTGAATGTCGAGTCATATGCATGAGCAGAGAAAGCCAGCCGGGGAATTGATTATAACATATGCTGACCATGGTTAAGATTGACATAGGTTGGTTCAAAGCCAAACTGCGCCAGCATTGGGTGCCCGAAGGCGGGCGGATCTCCAGTCTCTTTGATGTCTCTCGAGCCCATCGTGATGATGGATGCAGTGAGAAAGATAGGACTGCGCAATTAAGAAGTCGTATGGGACAATTACCCATCTCAATTCTGTTGCGAGTTGCAAGTTGCGAGGAAGCTCGGCATTGTAGAGGACCCTGGTAAGGTTGATGCCGAGTTTCCTCACAACTAGGAAGAATTGAGATGATTGAGTTGTGAATTTTGTGTCGATCAGATTTCTTGTGATTTGAGTGGACAAACAAGTAAGGGATACAAGAAACATCATTTAATTTCAAAGTCCGACAACTCACAAGCACTCCAGAGTGCTTGCGAGTTGTTGCGCGTTTGACTACTACTTTAGGCAAGCACGCAACCCGATCCCCATCTTAACCACCCGATTTTCATCTCGGCACTTCGGCATTTTTGGCATATTTCTTACATGCCGTGCACAACTCACAACTCGCAAGAGAATTGAGATGGGCTAATGTATGCATTTTACATAACACGGCGTTGCTTCTCGTTTGGGCGCGGCGCACAAATTCGGAGCGAGAAACGTTTGATCGACGCACCCATTTTTGGACGCGTTGCAGATACGTGGCACGCGCCGTACAGATTCAACTTTCTGTCTGACCTGTCTTGCTTAACGCTGCTTTTTCACGGTCACTGTCATGCGTCTTTCATTCTCTTGGGCCATCTTACCTTTGTTATTCTTCTCGGCTGTAGCAAGCGCAGATGAAGAAACAGTGACTGCAGAGCCGGAAATCTCTGTCACTGCTTCGTTCCCAGAGGACAATCCGTTTGGCCGTGAGTTCACTCTATTTCCTACTCTTAGTCTAAACTTATCTGTACTTGAAGAGATCGTGAACGGAGAGCGCAATCGAATCAACTTGCTCATTGAAAACCAGTCGGAGCTCAACGTCACGCTCATTGCTGTCTCTGGTTCATTCCACGACGCACAATCGGATGTGGTCGTAAAGAATGTACGTACGGCTTCGCAAGGTTATCGAAATATTGCTGAACGCCCGCAGACTTCCACACTCCCTTATGGTCTTCGTCTGATTTCTGGGACGAAGGTTCAGCTGCCGTATCAATTTCACAGCGAGTAAGTGTCCGTTCCTTGATTAAATCCTTTGCCCGACAAATATTAATTTGTGTGCGTAGGTTCAAGGTGTGCAGTGGCCTTTAATCCAACTTCATGAGCTTTTATGTATACTGTCTATTTTGTGTCATCTAGCCTGGAGATATTCGTCTCAATCTCTGGCTGACCCACTCTGTCGATGTGAGCCGGAACTTTTCACTTCACTCATTCCCCTAATCATTTCTTCAGGATAAAATCTATCGTGTTACGGCGTACGATTCAATAGTGACTGTTGTCGAGCCCGATTTTTCTTTCTTTGACTATCAAGTGTAAGTTCTCGATGTGATCGTAATGGTTCCTATAGACTGAATTTCCGTATTTCAGCCTTTCTACATATTTATTCACTGCAGTATTCCTGGGTGGCCTTGGATACCTGGCATACATCACTTTCGTTCCCAAGTCGAGGAAGTCACGCAAATCGGTACCAGCTGGTGGCAAAAATGCTATTAGCTCTCCTGTCGGTTCAGTCACTGCTACTGGTGCGGGTGGGTACGAGGAGGAATGGATTCCGGAGCATCACCTCAAAATGAGAGGTGGTAAGAAGGCAGGCGCAGCGGGCTCTGGTGATGAATTGAGTGGTGGTGAGACGAGCGGCACGGAGGGGCGGAAGCGTAAGGGCCGCAAGTAAAAATTGGGGCTTAGCAGGTTTTGCCTCTAAAATTATTGCAATGTCTTTACTGGTAGTTGTAGCAGTATGTGGGGCAATTGCACTTCCATATTTTTAACTCCCAAAAATGAGCTGTGTGGGTCATAAAATTCCAAGACACAAGATTGCAAGCAACGTAGACCTCTCGGTGAGAATAATTGATTGGCGGAGAGTTATCTGCGTTGCATTTGTTGAACATGCCGGTATGTCCGACTACATCACAGGTCTATCTGCTTGTACCCCTTCACCTGGAAATAGGCCGGATTGTCAGGACAGATACAGTACCGCACAGCAACAATTGACATACCCTGTTCTCCCGCAACATCTTCAAATACTTCTCCGTCCACGGTTTACAATTTTCATAATGATTAACGCCCTCTATTCGCTGACATTTTGTCAATTCGTCGCGGACTATTTTGACCTCCATAGTGCGGACCCATGACTCTCGGATGTGTTCCTCGCGAGCACGCACTCGCGCTGTGAAAAGCATCAAGCACGATAAATTAGAACCTATTATTTGAAGAATATATCATAGGCCAACATACCTTGTAGTTGAGAGACGGTGTCCGAATCCATGGTCGAACGTGAGTGTTAGTTTATGGCCAACGAATTGTCCGTGTCACCGACATTGCCCAAGTTGATTAGGTAATATTGCTTATGTAGTTACTTAAACTCGGCTCGAATTGATGCGCTAACTTTCAACACTCCCTTCTTGGGGATTGACTATATGCATCTGTACAAACATCTACGAATTCACCAAATCTTCGGTGCAAATACAGATGTCGGAAAGACAGTACTCGGAACTGCTCTAGTGCTATCTTCCGCAGAACGAGGACGGTTTGTCCGTTACCTCAAACCTGTTAGCACGGGTCCTCTCCAGGACGCTGACGATGCGTAAATATTTTCCGATTTACAATTCTGTTTCTCGGGAGCTAATAATTTTTTGTGTAGATTTGTGAAGCGATTCAGTCATCGCTATAAAGACACAGTACAGCGCGATTGTCTTTTTCAGTTTCAAGAGCCAGTCAGTCCGCACCTCGCCCTCCGTCTTCAACACGGTCAAGGTTTTAGCAAGGTCGTCAAATAAAACTCTGCTGGATGTCTATATTCTTATCCAAATAGCGCAGAATAAGATACCCACGGACAGGGCCGTGCTTAAGTCAATTGCAAAGTACATCGATGGAGCACAAAATTCGCCATCCAAAAGCAACGTTTTATATATTGAGACAGCGGGTGGTAAGTCATTCTTTAACTATTTACCCAGAGTTTAAACGAATAAACTTGTCCACAGGCGTGCATAGTCCTTCGATAAGTGGTATAAGCCAGGTCGATAGCTATCGTTCGTTGCGTTTACCTACCATCCTTGTCGGCGACTCGAAACTCGGAGGAATCTCCTCCACAATATCGTCATACGAGTCGTTAATAGTACGAGGCTACTCCGTCGACTCGATACTCCTTTTTCGTGAAGACTACTACCGAAACTGGGATTATTTGACCGCATACTTTAATGAGCGAGGCGTGCATGTAGCGTCTTTCCCTGCCCCTCCGCCCAAAAGCAACAACACGGAACAAAACTTCGTAACCACGGACTCATACTTCTCCGAGTTACTGAAAGACGAATTATTATCTGCAGTCGATGAACATCTAGACAACAAGCACTCTGAAAGAATCGAAGAACTGCACTCCATGCCTTCACGCACCCTGGACTCCATCTGGTGGCCATTCGTCCAACATGGCCACGTCAAGGAGCCAAAGGATGTAACCGTAATTGACAGCGCTTTCGGGGATTTTTTCAGCGTATATACTGGCCATACAAACAGCGATTCCTCTTCCAACCTGCTTTCATCATCGTACGATGGGTCTGCGTCTTGGTGGACCCAAGCATTTGGGCATGGTCAACCTTCTTTGGCACTGGCGGCTGCTCGTGCAGCAGGACGCTACGGCCACGTCATGTTCCCTGCAGCTACCCACCTTCCTGCTTTAAGACTTGCCGAACGCCTATTATCACCAAAGGGGCCAGGTAACGGTTGGGCTTCGCGAGTTTTCTACTCCGATGACGGTTCGACCGCAATGGAAGTTGCGTTAAAAATGGCTTTACGCGCGTATTGCAAACGTCATGGAAGTGACCTCGATCAAACTCAGAAACAACGGCTAGGCATACTGGGCCTTAAAGGTAGTTATCATGGCGATACGATTGGTGCTATGGATGCATGCTACGATGGAGATGGCGTTTACACTTGCGAATGGCACTCTGCTAAGGGATTTTGGCTCGACCCGCCTACGATTGGTTTACGAGATGGAAAAGCGTATGTTGATCTACCAGACTCAATTGTATCTGCTGGAAACATAAACGAGAAAGCTATTGAAGCTGAATCCCTGCAATGGCTGTATAACGTTCCCCAGCGACTCGACACAGAACTAGCCACTCAATACCGCCGATTTATCTCCGAAACGCTGCACAAGCTCGCACAATCAGTACAGAGCCCGCGACTTGCCGCCTTGGTTCTCGAACCTCTCGTCATGGGCGCAGGCGGGATGATCTTCGTAGACCCTCTCTTTCAACGTATCCTCGTCGACGTAGTACGAGAGAGCTCTCCAGAACGCGGTCCGGACGGCAGTTGGCAAGGCCTCCCCGTCATTTTCGACGAAGTATTCACAGGCTTATATCGTCTCGGCCAGAAAACATGCATCTCAACTCTCGGTGTAACCCCCGACATCGCTGTATATGCTAAAACCCTAACAGGAGGTGTCGTCCCTCTCGCGGTCACGCTTGCTTCAGAATCGATATTCAATGCGTTCTTGGGGGATAATAAAGCGGAAGCTCTGTTGCATGGACATAGTTATACTGCACACGCTGTTGGATGCGAGGTTGCCTGCGAGTCATTGGACTTGATGGAGAAGCTTGAAACGTCAAATGTGTGGACTGAGGTGCAAAGAAGGTGGGGAAAGGCGGTTGACTCGGCATCGACACAGTCTGCCCAGAGTTCATCTACGGTGTGGAGCATGTGGAACCCGAAGTTCGTAAAAGAACTCTCAAAGTTACCAGTGGTAGAATCGGTAATGACTATGGGCACGGTCCTCGCGGTCAAACTCCGAGGTACAAGCGAAGGTAAGTCAATTAATACCCCCCGAACTCACTACGCTTCCGACATTTGCTCACACAACTCCTAGGATATCGCTCCCAACTAGCCCAAACCGCCCTTCAGTCCATAAAATCACCAGCACATAATGAGTCCGACTCCTTCGGCGTCCATTTCAGGACACTCGGTGACGTCGCGTACTTCATGACCAGTCTCAACTCGTCACAAGTAGTCATAAGAGAGGTCGAGAGACGAATCATGAATGCTCTGCAAGGTGGTGAAGCCTATAGCCAGGTTAATGTACAACGGAAGACGTCGCCACGAAAAGACAAGAGAAAACTCGCCGCTGCATGATTAGACCGACGGATTGCGCTTCTTGAGGGAAGACGAATTACAAGCCGTTCCATAACCTATCTGTGCATTACATCTCATGATACCTGTGTAGATATTTCGCTGTAACTTGTGATAAACTGTCGATTTTCATGATTTTGAAATGAGTATATGCGACGTCTCAGTTTCACTCTTACATATGCTACCATACACAAGACAGCAATTAAGAAAGTATTGATCTATGCTACATATATAAACGCATTCGTACAACCAAAAGAAACCCTTCAAATTCACCCACTTCAATACCTCCAATACTGCGCGACTCCATGCATCCTGTCCAAAAAGTTATGATACGTCGAACTTCCTCTCAACTGCTTCTCCAACTCCTTAATCGCATCCTCCTCACTCAAATGCAACTGGAACTTCTCCTGCAGCTGTTCATGCACGTCCCGATAATTCACATGCGGGATGTTTGCCTCGCCCATCAGGGACACCAAGTTGAGTATTAGGTTCGCACTTTTTCGGAGGATGGAGTAGGCTACGAAGCAGAGATTTTGGAAGCGTGCGAATTCGGGGGAGGGAGTGCCGCCCATTGCTTCGATCATTTCTGGGCAGACTTTGACAGGTGGAGGGTAGGGTTTTGGGTCGTGGCCCAGGATGTATCCAAAGTCGACTGTAGCATATTCAGTATTAGAGACAGGAAGATGGAGAGAAGGACACAGATGACGTACCATGGAAGAAATGTCCTTAAATACGACAAGCAACGATAAGTCATTGGCTGAATCATGGAATAGATATATTGGTCTCACCATCAGGAGCTAATAGCAAGTTATCCAAATGCCGATCACCAACTCCAAGGATATAAGTCATGACGGAATAACCAGCTAGACACAGTGATCAATTAGCCAATTTCTACTTTCTCCCAGAAAAGATACACAACTATACTCACCACAGCTCCTCACGAAAGTATCAAGAACCGACTTCTTAACTCCAAACGTGCCCACACTCCCTTCGTCCGGATTATGCGCTCTCAAATAATTAAGCAGCGAGCCGTTATACTCGCTCACAATCGACGCAATCGCCATACTGGGAATAAACTGCGCCATCCCCTGTGACGGACTTGTAGCAAGGACAGCATAGGGACTCAACTTCAAATCTAAATTCTCTTTTCGCAGGAGCCGATCCATAAGCGTGAAAAGCTGAATTACCAGCTGATCCTGTCGCATGTCGTCCCCATCTTTGAATATCAACGGATATTCGCTCCCGTCTGTGCAAGTGAAGTAGAGAAGCATGGGAGAAAGACTGGACTTGAAGACGGAGGCCTTCTCGGCGACTATACCGGTGATCTCAACGGAAGCGTTTAGCGGCAGTGGCAACGGTGCCATGGTCGCCAATCCACTTTTCGAATCTGCGATGAAAGCTCGTAGTCGCTCAATCTTCTTTGGACGCTGATCCTTCGAAGCTTTGAGGTCCTTTGCCTTCTTCGATAACGTAGCAATAAGCTCCCCCTGTCGACGCAAGACGTCTGTCCGTGCTGGCCCGTCATCGGACTAAGCATCACGACATCAATCTGCAAGTGTAACACATATATATGCTTAACGAACTAACCTTCTTGAGCTTCTCCATGTACTTATACCAGACCTTTCCATAGACCTTCGCAACCTGTTTGTCTTCCAACGCTACTTCCACCATTAAGTACCAATGGAAACGATTCCCCAGTACAGGATTTCGCACGGCTCGTTCAATGAGGAAGTCCGCCAAGCCACTGTCTTCTTGCGAGATCGCATTCGAGCTCAAGCGCAGCGACCGTTGATCGCTTGCAGAGTTTTCGAATTTCAGTGCTTGTAGTAGCTGTACCAAATAAAGTAACAATTCCTAAAGCGAATAAGGTATCAGCGGCTTGATACACCAGAAAAATTGTGAAATAGAAACGTACATCATCATCAGCCTTGGAAAGCTGCTTGACCGCAAAGTTACGAACTCTGCTATCAACTGTACCCGGCCCTAAGAGCTCTAGAGCATCATCGACTTCAATATCCGTCCATTGAGGTAGCAGGACTTCAACTGCTTGCTTCACTTCACTCGGATCTCGCCACGTCACGGACTTAAGGAACTTGGTTAACCCGCGTTTGTCCCGTGTCAAATAGAATCGGAATTTCCAAACGAGATCCTTCTCTTCCGATGTTAACGGTTGCGTCGGCGCATAGTTCAAAATATCCTGCCGGGCCCACAAAAACAAAGTTAGAGGATATGGCAGAGGAGTGCACACAAAGACGCACAGCAAGTTCATCTCGATCCTTCGCATTAGGCTTCAGCTCTCGATCAAGTGCACCGCTACGATGACTTCGAACGAGACGTCGGTGTTTGTCCTCAACGGGGTTTTCGCGCGCCACTTCGGGATCAACGATCTGCCATAGGGAGGAATCCGACAGGAGTGAACCCGCGCTTGCTGTGGCGATCCCCTGAGCCGATGACGACGATGGCATGATTGTAGGCATGTTGGACGGCTCCTGATTCATTCAATATATTATTCCAGAATGACATTGCGGTTCTAATGTAGTGACTCACAGGTTCTGAAAAGACAACTGGGAAATCAAATCGCGGGAGGTCGACATACAAGAAGAAATTCTTAGATTTCTTCGCCTCTGCCTGTGCATTATGTCAACAATTTCCCAGAAACTCAGTTTTCTCGACTTACAGCATGGATCTCCTCCATCTTTCGGAATGCGAGTTTGTCTAACCAATCTTCTTTCGGTAAATCGCCTCGCTCGTATTTCTTCACAAGCTGATAGGACCCATGATCAACCTCATCGCTCCAATACACAATTTAAATAAAGGAATTACTCGTACTTTCTCTAATCGTCCCATCTCATCCTTTATCTCCGTCTTACTCGGTGTCTTAGCATCAACAGAGCCATCCGCCTCAACTCCAGGCCAGAGGAACAATCTATGTTTACCACGTCTCAATGTCCTAGAAATCATCCCATCGGTCAACACAACCATAATGACATAGGCAAAGAAACACCGCGCGCACCCTTTTTTGCCAAACAAGCGAAACGTCGTGCCGCCTACAGGAGCAGCCGACCGAGGACCTTCGATATCCCATACAGTAAACGTGATCTGCGAGCTCAGTGGGAGGTCACAATATCGGATAGGCAACGTGATCCATTCGTTCCATCTAATGCCGCCCAGACATTCAAAAATGAATGATTAAATAAAATCAGTCAAGCACAAGAGTTAAGAGGGAAAGGGCGAGAAAGGACAGGAACTCACGTATAACTGTTCTTGAAAGCCTTGAACGCAGTCCGGTACGCAATAGTCAGTGGCTTATTGTCCGCCACAAGTTGACAAGTCACGTAGAGGTCCGAGAAGGTTCTACATTTATGCGCATGATGAGCAAATGTTCAGAAGTTTGGAAAATAGGCTGAGTATGCAGGGGTTCGATAGCGAAATGACGCACGGAGATTGTACACCAGCAAACTGGAGGTCCGGATTGTCAATAACATCCGTGAATGGTCTCGGCTGGCGATTTCCTTCAAATTGAGAGCTTTGTATGCCTAAATTCAGCGGGTGCAGAGATTTATTGTGAAGCACAGAACCACTGCGTACATGCGAAAAGTGACTGGTAACTTAAGAGAGCTGGATTTTGCAAACGTGAAGTCCGGATTATCCTTGTCCATGATGAAGTGGCGAGATGTGCACCAAGTTATCTTGTCTTGTTAAGTCAGTGGCAGCCTAAGTATTCCCATGTGCTGGATGTCAGTGGATGACCAAAGCAGGTATTGAAATACAGCTCACGTGCCTCCGTCAAACTGGGAATTGATTCCTACAGTGCCCATCAACATCTGTGAAGACTCGTGCATGCTTTTCAACCTTATTTCCTTCACCAGTGCTGTGCTGAATCTGTATCAAGACATCTCTCTTTCTCACTGACAATATTTCTGTTCTTTATAAGTCCATGAGCAAAAGTCTGCTGTACGACTCAGTATGACCATCCATGACGAACGGCTCGCCTGATTGGCGCCCAACTTGCTCACATGAACGTCTAATAATACCTGCTGAATGGCTAACACGCGGCAAACACCTAGATCGATTCTCCCTGTGCTACTGCTCTGTATCTAAGGAAGACTGATGTTGCAGATAAGGCGGCCTGCACTTCATTCGTTTCTGCCACCATGTTCAACTCCCCACCCACCCACTACTCCCAAGAGGGACGGTTTGTCTCTCGTCCTTTCAACTGTATGTTGCCTGACATTTCTATCCAGTTAGGTGCGTCACAAACATCATATGCGAGTCATCAAACCCTGGTTTATACGTGAAAGTGACACTAGGGAATAGCCCAGTAAGGGAGACTGCGATGATCCGAGAAAATAATCCACCTACATCGAATGCCACCCTTGCATTGTGAGTGGATCTAGCAACACCATGCAAAAATTCTCAAATTTTGTGCAGTTCATCGTCAGATGATTCGGATGTTGTCAGGATGTGCGTCACAGAAGAAACAAATCGTAGAACGTATAGGCAAACGACACGCCATCGCCAAATTGGGTCGGCCATGATGTCGATTAAGGAGTTATTAGAAAATTGTCTCGAAGGTGTGCCTTGGTCGCCCTTATTGAATGGTCAGTCGGGCGAGCTCATAATCATTTAAAGCCAATTTAGAGCTCTTCATTTCGTCCTTTCTTACTTAAAAGATGTGATGTGCAAGGCAGTTGCGGATCCTATACCAGACGGACACTCTTGGACCGATCATATGAACACACTCAGTCGCGCGGCCGATGGGCTTTTCATCTGGGCGTCGACGGCGGTTAAATTTGTCTCGAATAATGATGACCCATTTGGAAAGCTTGATGAACTAGTGTTAAACATTCGTTCGCTCAATGGACTTGACAACCTGTATGCTACTGTGCTGGAGCAGTCGGGTATCTCGTGGCTGGACCCGAAGTCTGTTGATCGATTCAGGAAGGTACTGGGTCTAGTTCTTTTGGAAAAGAGTCTCTTTCGGATGCTGATATCGATAACGTCTTAGGCCTTGGACAAGGGAAATCGCGTCTGACGCTCCAGAGACTGCATTCCGTTCTCTCGTACGAGCCTGGGCGGCCGGTGCGACCCCACCATGCATCTTTTGTTGACTATCTCTTGTCGTCCGAGCGCTCGGGCAATCAGTGCTGGTACGTCGATGCCGACATTCAAAGTCATACAATTACGTCCAGATGCTTTGTTTTTATGGAGCATTCTCTACGTTTCAACATATGTGGGCTGGATACATCGCCCGTTCGTAACGACGATGTACCTGATCTCAAGGATTGAATTGAGAAGAATATACGATCGCACCTTTCATACTCTTGCCGATTCTGGGCCGAACATCTTCGCGACATACCGCATTCTCCGGACGTTGCAAGCAAACTAACAAAATTTGCTTATAAATACATCTTGTACTGGTTCGAGGTGCTCAGCTTGACAAAGCATTTCAATCGCGTCGCTGGTCGAGCGCTCTTCGATGCCATCACGTGGACTTCGGTTTGTAGTATAGCAAATGTCTCTTGTCTGCGTGTTAATAACTATATTGACAGCTGATTAATGGTGAGGTTTCTTTGTTTTTATGGGATGCCTATAGGCTAGCTGGCATCTACTTCTTGCCAGCTTCGCAAAGCGCTCCTCACATCTGTCTCTCCATGCTTTCTCTATCGAAGGACGAGTCGGTGGTTTCTAAACATTTCTCGGGGACTCATCCTATTATCCAGACTTATCGTTTCGGAGCTAAACCGATGACGATATACATAAAAATCATTACTGGGCATACAGGACCCATTCACTCGGTGGCGTCATCACCCGACGGGTGGCGAGTCGCCTCTGGCTCACACGATTGCACGGTTCGTATTTGGGATGTGGAAAGTCGCCTCCCGTCAGGTGAGAAAGCGACTGACATGACATAGTCTGTGTGTCCCTCAAACGAGCCTGCAACGACCTCGCCAGTCGTCTCTGGCTCACGCAATCGCACGATTCGTATATGGGATGCTGAAAGCGGGGAACTTGTTGCAGGCCCGTTCACAGGAGACACAGACCGTGTCGAGTCCATCGCTTTCTGCCGGATGGGAGGCGTGTCGTCTCTTGCGAAGACAATGACTGTATTCGGATTTGGGATGCCGAAAGCGGATAGACTAGCACGAGCCCGTTTAAAGGAGGCACATTAATTATGCCTGTTGCTTTCTTACTTGATGAGCAGCACATTGTCTCTTGCTCCCGCGATCGCACGGTTCGTATATTGGATGCTGAAACTAGAGAAGTGATTGCAGACCCATTTAAAGATTACACAAATCGTGTCGAGTCTGCCACTTTCTCTTTTGATGGGAAATGCATTGCTGGTATTTCTTGCTCGAACAATTCGATAATTTGTATACTGGATGCTGAAAGTGGGGAAACTGTTGCACATCTGTATAAGTACAGAACTGAAGTCTATTGCCTTCTCGCCTGATGGGAAGCACATTGTCTCCAGCTCAAACAATGACACAATTTACATTTAGGATGTTGAAAGTAAAGAGGTTGTTACAGGCCTGTTTGAAGGGCATATAGGCAGGGTTTTGTGTGTTGCCTTCTTGCCTGATGGGAAGCATGTTATCTCTAACTCTTATAATGACACAATTTGGACTTGGGATGCCAAAAGCAGAAAGGCTACAGCAGGCATGTTTGAAGGGAAGACACACAATCCTGCATTTGTGTTCTTGCCTGATGGGAAGCATATTGTCTCTGACTCATACTAACTATGGTCCCTAATCTAGCATAGGTCTCTAACATGATCACCATACATACACTTAGTTGGTCATAACAAATATTGCAATTTGTACCTCACCAGTATTATACAGTGTACTATCAAATGTATGAACATGAACATGTTCACATCAAAGGTTGCATCAGGACTGTCTTCATACTTGAATCACATCACGAGTTATTCAAATTTCAATCCAATTCTTTTAGTAACTAATAAAATAATAACATATACAATGAAGTCAAGATCAAGTATCTCACGAACGACACATTCAAGTCAACAGTATAAGAACAAAACAAAAAACAAAAACATTATAAATACTGTTCACAAGTACTGTATCTTGTATCTTGCATCATGTATCATACTCTGTGTCGAAGAAGCGCAAAAAAAGGTAACAGAGGGAACAAAGGAGACAGAGGGAACAGAGGAGAGACAGAGTAGTATTGAGTAGAACTGAGTATAATAAAATCAAGGGGGACAAATCGTTGGTCATGACAAAAAAAAACTATCATCGTACTCATACTCATACTACATCTGTTGTTGAAAGTCCATGGAACATGTTACATACACACACATCCATATTATCCATAATTAAAATTTTTCTCAAAACAGCAACAGAAAGACAGAAAGACAGAAAGGACTCCACAACCCACTATCGGTACCCAGTATACTCCGTATAACTCGGCGGACCAGCAACAGACGTCCGAACAGGGGACGTCGATCCCGAATATCCTGACGACGTAGGTGCACCGGGTGGTGCGCCAGCGATAGAAGCCCGGACTGCGGCGTACGGATCTGCGTATTGCATCGTTCGACTTACTCCTGCTGGAGTGTTCGAGAGTCCGCTAGCGGAGCTGAAGGTTGATTGTTGAACGGACGGAGGAATGCCAGAACCGTATCCAGAAGGAGCAGGGTCCGAAAACGCTCCGTACGCGTCCATCGACGCACGTGCAGCGGGTATGTTCCCAGCTGCGGGTGCGGAAGAGCCGCTGAACCCACCAACACCGCTTACAGGTGGCAGCACATACGAAGACGAAGCTTGTGAGTTCCTATTCGCTGCAACATTGTTATCCGAGAACGGCGAAGCCCCAGCACCAGAGTAGTTACTCTCTCGGATCGGGGGCACGTGTTCATATGTGGACTCTTCTTCCTCTTCGTCAAGTTCGTCATACGCCCCACCAACACCGCCGGCTTCGCTGCCCATGGGAGGGTGGAATGGTGGGTCGCGAGGACCACGGGTCTTTCCGCTGCGCCAGTTCATGATGGTAAGTGTGAATGTTCCGCACCAGAAAGCTATAGTAAAAGACGTATTAAACACGGACTGAGAATAATCGTAGAGGAGAGATCTTACCAAAGGCAAGCCAAAAGAATATCGCGCCAGCTTTCTTCGTCGAACACCACCCTTTCAACCCATTTTTGAATCCATCTCCTTTGTCAGCGTGAGGGTCGTTGTCTGGATTCTTACAGCCAGGCTCCGTCCATGCTGATATTGTGACAATGAAGCTGTGTACGAAAAGAAAGCATAGGTATGATGAGTGCTCAGGTACTGTTAAAATAGGCTGAATGCACGTACGCAATAAGCAGGCTAAACACCGTCCCAGTGACCGTCAAGATAAAAGCCACTCGCAGCTCCGTCAGGGCACGCGACAGCCGCGTGAGTTTACCATACTTAGAATCAATGACGGGGACAAAGAGCATGAACAACGACAAAAAGATGCCCATAATCGAGACGAAGAGCGCGAAACCAGTCAACCCAGCTAAATATCAAAGACATCAGGACATTAGGACGACGTCTTCTTTGTGAATTTGTATGAAGTAATGGAACGTACAAGGTCCAACACCCCATTTACCCTGAAAACTCGCAACGCTCGCAAAGCAGCACATCGCAAGGAAGTTGAAAAACGCTTGGGAGGCATGGAATATAATTGCTGGTTTCGATACGATCATCTATATAAACCCACAAGATATGTAAGCAACCAATTCAAAAGAAGGTAAAAATAACACAGAAATAAATAAAATAGGAGGAGAAATGACGCAACCCATATCCACAACACAAACACCAGCGGAATAGCTAACAACGCAGCAAGCGCTCCATCCCCAGAAGATATATCAGTAAAAGCAGTCGTCGAGTTCGACGACGTGCTAGCTGACGCAGCTGAAGTCAAAGTAGCAAGAGTAGAGGAGGGGTCGTCGATTGGAGGAGCAACAGTTCGCGACGCAAGCGCCGCGACTGTTGTCACCGCCAACACGTAAAGGGAGGATTGTAGCGCGGGGGTCGTTGCATTCATGCATGTAGGACCGCACACAGGCGCTTAAGAAGGAGGGGAGGGAGAGGAGGAGGGGGAGGTACAAAAGGAGAGCAACGCGAAAGTCAACCATGACCAGTTAAGGCAAGGCTGTCTCGCCTGCTGGGATTCGCGTTCCTCGGTCATTATCACCGTTACTGTAGTAGAAGCAATGCAATGCAATGCAGGAACGTTCCATCGTTGCGTGCTTCTCGTGCTTCCCCAGCGCAATGTCTTTGCGTCATGTGTCGTGTATGGGCAGCGAAGAGATACAAAGCGGGACAAACAAGAAGATAGGAAGGAAGCATAAGTAGAAGTAACGCACATCATCTTCAAACTGTGCAACGCCCATGTTACTTATCCCTTTCCCTCTTCTTCCACCCGTAACAGGGCCTCTGTTCGGTCGTAACACCTTCTCAAAGGCGGACTGGATATGGTCCATGACGGGCATGTTGAATTAATATGAGTTAATTTCTCTTGTGTTGAGATAGAGCGACAAATGTCGCAGATGGACGAAAGCGCTAAGTGGAAATACGACCCAATAGGGGTGAAGTGTAGGATGAGGAGGAAAATAGGTGGGGAGAAGGTAGGTCGTAGTCGTGCGTTAAGAGCAAAGTCGGACTGGCCGGCAAGAGGAGACGGTACTGCGCAAAGTGAGGGTGAGGGTAATGCAGTGAAACGTGAGGCGCGCTCAGTCAAGGCGATGACCTCGAGGCCGATTATGTCACATTCTGAAACCATAATTATTACTTTCACTTTTTAGTAAATTTTTACACAACACATAGAAAAGAATCCATGAGCACTGATATAGTCATCACATCTACCAAAAAACATAAATACGATACAATGTACCCAAAAAGTTCTTCCACAACAAAATATGCACAGAATAAATAATACAACATCGCCTTTCGCCAAGACTTCCGCATGATGAGATTAGAAAATAGCTCGGACAAGTCCACCTCCAATCGCAGAACCAGCACCGAAGCCCACACCGCCCGCAGCAGAATGTGCCATCTACAAACACGTAAGTCAATACTCAGTCTGTGCTCGAAAGAATAGAGATAACCAACCGTATTCCCATACTTCCCATACTTACTCTTCTTCTTATCCTGCCCGTCCGCCTCTTGCAAACCAACAGAGTTGACTTGCGCAGAACCCGGTGGCGGGGGTTTGTCCGCTCCATGATGAGCAGCACCAAATGGCCTGTACGCTGCCTTTTCCCGCGGTGCCACGGCGGGAGCCTGGGTGTACTGCGGAGGCGGGGCGAGGATCGTGCGTGCCGGCGCAGCGGGAGCAGCACTAAAAGTGTCGGCTGGGAGTTTCTCGACGTGATTGGAGGGAAGGAGTCCTTGTTTCCCGTTAATTTTGCCTGTCCACCAGTCAGGGTTTGTCTCTTCTATGATCTCGATGATGTCTCCTGCACGGAAGGAAAGATCGTTTGGGTCCTGTTCTCGCCACATGAGAATCAAATAAAACAGAGAAGTAAATAGATAAATAAATGGACCACGTACTTCTCCATTTTCGTTATAGGACCAGACAGCTCTGGCTTTGACTGTCCTCGCAGACCATGCTGGAAGGACTGGTACATTCCTAACAGCAGGAGTGGGAGTTACGACGATCGCAGGAGCTGCCGCCCTAGAAGGCAGTCGAGAAAGTACAAGGTCAGCATCTTGCTGGGACATATGCCCATTCTCGACGAGGAACGAGAGGTTATGCTGGATCTGCTCGACGATATGCGCGACGTAGGACATGGTTATCGTTGCAGTCGTAAGGCAAGGTACAAAGATTTAAAGAGAGGGAGAAAGAGAGAGAGATGCCCTCGGGGAGGCTGTTGTTAACAATTACCGTTGCGGCTGGAGCTTCCACGATTCGTGATGTCCATGCGTGTGGGCGCGATTTTAATATTCGTTGTCGTGTTGCCAGTCGGCCTGGTCAGCCCCTTGACTTACCGTCATGGACCGGTCCTTGTAACACTACATTTTAATTCTGAATTTACTTCATTTTCACACCTTTTAACCTCAAACAAAAAATACTATATGAAAATAAATACTGTTTAACATTACTCTACAAATTTCTGTGACAAATAAATGAGAAATAAATTAGATATAAAGGATAGATGTTTTGTGCCCAAAAGAGCACGTCACTATTCCTTGTAACACCCATTTTCCCACGATGTACACACAAGTAATCTACCTTGTCTGCATTATTTTTAAAGTCATTAAGGCAATATAATATTTGTATTGGACTTCTATATTAGTATACTCAGATATTTAAGTCAATATTTTAACTGTGTGGCCCTTGGTAATGAGTGTATCTCTTGACTGAATATTGCTCAGTACAGTCATGTGACTAAAATAAACTGTGATTTGTACTTTTTAATTTTTATAAATTGCAAATCTTAATGAAATTGTCTAAAAATTTGTATGTATGCTTATTTTAACATAACAGATAGTCTTGTATTTTTTAGTTGAAGTTGTGTTGTAGGAGGAGCCATGACTATCACTGGAAAATCTGAGCATTTTCTTGATTATCTAGTTTTTACCCTTATTTTCAACATAGCTCAACAAATTCTAATCTGTTTGCCACAATTTTTTTACATACACTAGGAAGATATAATAGAAATTCATTTATATATTTTTTGAGGTAAAATTGTTGTGAGTAGTGGCACTATGTATAGGGTGTTACAAGGAATGGTGGTGTTACAAGGACCGGTCCATGACGGTACTATATGCGCACCGGTTATCGTCGGCACGAACCCGGCAGTGCGTGATGCGCTGATGCATCCCCGGGTGGCTGTGTCCGTCACCTAATTTCTGCACAGCCCAGTCCTTCAATGATTGTAACTGTGACGCCTCTTCCTTCAACGCATAAATATTAAAAATGACCATCGTAACAATCATCAACGCCCCACCAACATCCATCTCTCCCAACGAACACCGCGAACGCACAGCAGAGACCCCAGCGTCATTCTCAGACATCCCTCCTGTCCTTCGCCACAAGGAAGAAAACGCCCGTGTTGTGTTCGACCCGCCTGTAGAAGGGTTAACTGAGGAGGAGTTGAAGAAGGGTACGGTTTACATTGTCGAGAGGTGCGTAGTTTTTCTCAAATTCGTATGGAGTATCGAGAAGCTAAATAGAGTGGTTTTGCAGTGTACTAGCGTTCATCTCCGAATCCTCAGGCCGCGGCTTCCAAATCGAATACCCATGCATCATCCTCCACGCAATCTCGCGAAGCAACGACTCCCCTCCATGTATATACTGTCAACTCGGTGAATCAGCCGCCCAACGACAAAACAACAACAACGGAGGAGGCGATGAAGAAGATGAACAGATAGACCTGCGCGAGCTAAGCATATTCCCCGAAGTCGAGGACTCTCGTGCGTATTCCAATTCCCTTTTTTTATCCTTCAATCTAATCTATTGATATTGATGTTTCATTGATACTTTTTTTCAGTCGACACGCTCTACGAAGCCCTCATGCACTGCTCCTCACTCCATCCAGACCCTTCCTCCGACAGCGACGACGGAGACATGATGGACATCGAAAACTTCGGCTCTTACACCAACCCTCTCGCAAACAATGCTCATGACGGCGATGTCGATAAAGACGATGACGCAATCGTCGACGCAGACGTAGAAGCGATCCAAACCATCACCGCACAAAGCAACGTCGACGCAGACGGAGAACTCGAACTCAGCGAAACCGGGAGGGTGCGCAGCGATTTCATGAACGATTCTCGGTATAAGCCGTACTAAAATCTGTACCTTCTGCTTTCCTGTCTTATTTCGGTTTCCTGCAAAAATGTGATACGGCTTTGAACTTCTTCCTTTCCTTTCCGTTACTATTACTATTTCGCAGGCCAACCTTGAACGTCTCGAGTCACTCATCCAAGATCCGCATGGAGCGCTTGCGAGGGCGGGTGTAGTAAACGGCTTCCACGACGCTGCTGCAGAAGGATCTGGTGCAGAACGAGAACAAGAACGATTTGCTGATGCTGACGCACCCGAACAACCTCACAGCAGTAGCTAACGCAAAAATCTGTTTCGAGTTTCGGTATATTCACACTATCTAATTCTAAAATCCCATATTGTTCAAACAGTGGCTTGTACATAGTAACTTACACTATAGACGTTCATTCAGATATAGACGATTTAAACGTAGAATTAAACTTAAAAATGACGAAAACAAACAAACGGACAAACTATCGATGTCTCTCTAGAACTTTCGGACGGTTAGTATAAATGGCAATCGCTACATTATTATCCATGCATCCAGCCCTGTTGTACCTATACATGATGAACCTACTACAGTAAAGCATATAAGCTCGTTCTACCTTCTAACATTGACCTAGATTCACAAGATGCTCTGGGATGAGATCAAACTAATCTTTTGAGCCCTAATCAAACGGAATGACAAGGGAAAGAGCTAGTCAAGCAAATTCAGATCTAGACATCGCAGGTATCGCATTCTCAGAGAAGTCGCAAGATTGGTTAGAGAAGTGGAATGATCTGCGTGGTCTTTGGGGCAAAGGTTGAAGGCAGCTCGGTTCAAAATAATCATCTCGTCAAGGTCTTTGATCCTTCTATGCTGCACATATTGAGCCATCAGAGACTGTGCAAGATTGGTTGGAGAAGTGGAACGATCGGGATAGCCTTCAGGGTGAAGCTCGAGGGCAGCTCGGTTCGACACAATCACTTCGTCAAAGTCGTCAATCTTTCCATGCTGCGCGTATCGAGCTCTCAGAGAAGTCGCAAGATTGCTCTTAAACATGGAACAATGTGGGTGGTCTTCAGGGAGAATTTCCAGGGCTATACGTTGAAGCTTAATGGCTCCATCAAGACCCTCATCCTGCACATACTGCTCAAATCGAGTTTGATAGGAACCCGTAACGTTGCTTGCAAATTCCATGGCGCGGACTTTTGAGAATTTCAGCTATAAATGAATAACACGGCTTGCTAACGAATGTAGGAGTTCAATTTTATTTGCGTTAATAAAGCACGAATTGCGGCTTACCGACAGTATTCAAGAAGCTTTGTTATAATGTGATCGTACTTGTCGTGCTCGAGCATTCGAGAATCTTCAAATGTGAACAGTATTTTGCAGCAAATCTTCGATTACGCCGTTTAGAGGGTTGTCCTCGGTTGCAAGCAGTACTTGTGTTGCGCAGTACACAGTCCGTTTGTGCTTTATGAGCTCATACTCCTTCGGCGCCGATCCGTGACCAGAGATGTATAATGCTTGTTTAACAACTCTCAGATCCAGAAGGACTGGTGGTGTTTTGAAGAAGGCGCGTAAACGTGGATCGGTTGTGACCACCTGAATGATCTGAGATACTGCTTCAGATCTCGTGTCCCATACCTCTGCACTAAAGGAGATCACATTCCTTTCAGTATCATTTTGATTGGTGAAGTAGTAGCTGTAGCACTCACGTGGCGTGTTTCGCGAGTTTCCGACAGCCTGAACGAAGCTTTGCTTCACTCTCGTCCTTCACAGTCCAACGTAATACTTGCCGAACATGACCCTCCGTACCTGGCTCGCTGTTCCCGGGACTCCTTACTCCTTTAAACTCGACATGCTTGATTCGAGAAGCCACTGCCTTGGGACCAAGTCCACCTCTATGTGCGACCTGTCTAATAGCAGCTTCAAGAGCCCGTCCCCAGCGTGAGTAGAGAAGTCCAAGCATCCCACCAGAGCCAGGTAAATTGGAGGCGGTGTCGTCTGATGTTGACTGCTGCGAGCAGAGCACTTCTGTGAATCCATCATCTTCGTCCCTTCCTGCGCCTCGTACGGTTGGGGGTGGGGTGGGGGGTGGCAGAGTCGTATACGGGGAATAACGAAGGCATATGGAGTCAAACCTCAATAGAACTGCTTGTGGCTGTGAGAAGGTTGGAGGAGTATGTGATATTCGACAATGAATGCTCTTATAGGCTGAGGCTGGCTGATTGTCAGCAAAATGAGGCAGTTGCGAGGCAGTGCCAGAACATCTGGGACAGTGCTTACCGTACCTGCCAACAAGATTTCGTGTACATCGATGATATAATATCAAAGTCTAAGAATTACCTTCGCATCATGAACCCGTCCAATAATCTCAAGGCAGTAGTACACCAATACGTATTTTGATGAGAATACTTCTAAGTCTGTACAAGTACAACCATTGAGGTAGATAAAGCACTTCATTTGGAACGAAATATGCCACTGCACAGCTGGAGCGAAGGGAGAACAAGGAGTCAAAATGATTAACCGGTTTCGAAAGGTGACAGGAAAGGAAATACGGTTGTTTGTACGTATTTGCTATTATTTATTTATAAGCCGTGCAACGATCATCGACTTGTTGGTCGAACACACCGAAAAAATCTCCGTTAAAAGTTATCTGCAAAAAGTGCCAATAGTCAGTTTCTATAATATTTAACTAAACCACGGATGCTGAATATGCACGTGACCCGTGATATGCCAGACGTTTCCTTGACAGTAAAAGATTTCCTAAACGCATCCCACATCCCAGCCTTGCAGTTTGCAAGAGGCCGTTGCAGACCAGTTAGAGTGTTTGATTTGACTAAAATTTTATTATCACAAAAGTCATTTATGTAACATTGCTTCAGAACAACTACAGGTACGAGAACACAATATTGGGGAGCAAAGCCACTACAAAACATGCAGGATGCAAACATGTAAATGCACGAACAACCAGATCTTGCATAAACAAAGCAGGAAAGGCAAACACATGTAAATCCCTTACGAGGAAGCCTTCCTATTGATCGCCTGCGGTCGAATGTCCACAGGAAGCGTAGCCATCGGTTTAGCCTTTGGTAAAGGACCCCAATCAAATGCCGTAATCGAGGCTGGTACCTGCGTCTGCGTCTTACCCAACCTCACAGATTTCTGATGATGTGCGGAATGCCGCTGCGTTCGCCGCGAATTATCTCCGCTCGTTCCTTCGTCTCGGTCTCGTAGGTCGTCCAAACTCGCGTCCAAGTCTACGGGAAGCTCGCTCTTCACATCAGCGACAGAGGCAGGGACATCAGAGCCCTCTCCGACAGATAAGTTATCCAAATTTAGGATTCGTTTCGATGAATTAGCCGCTTGTGTATTCAACAGAGGAGCCCTCCGTGCGTTTGTTAAGGCGTTCTTAAGGCGCAAAGCACTCCGCTCGGCATTCAGTGCTGCCGCAGTGCTAGCAGCTATCGAGGGCGTAATATGCGATCGGACGGATATTGGTTTCTCGTCGTCCTCAGGAGCAGCACCTGAAACAGAGAAAACCCCCTTTCGGGTAGACTTGCGTCGGGGTGAAGAAAATCGACCATGTAAAGTCGTATCAAGTACGTCCAAGTCCAGTTTAGCGACCCGAGAAGTTAGCGTTTCAATTTGGTCGGCTTGCGACTCGATGGCGACCTCAATATTTCGGTAGATACGATTCACTGTGTCTAAGGAAGGAGGCCTTGCGATCACAATGTCAGTGTCTGAGTAGGATCACGATATTTTAATTAACCTACTTGATACTACTCTTGCCCTTACGATGCTCCTCCAGTTTCTTCTTACATGATTTGAGATGTGCTTCGAGCTGCTCAACTCTGTCATTGATAACCTAGTAAAGTATTAGCGATGGTACACGCTGAGGTAAAACAAACTTCTCTTACTCGGATTTGCCTTCTCAAATGGAGCTGTGTTTCCGACGCATCGGGACCAAGCGTCCTAGCTTTGAGCATCTTCGCAAACTCAGGGTCTGCTTTGGCCTTGGAGAACCTAACGATCTCCTCCTTTCGCGTCTCGGCTAGGGCGACCAGATGAGAACTCTCGACATGTGCTCAAGAAAGCCTAGTCGATCACTTACCCTTTAGAAGATTGCTCTCTATTTCCCGCATGAGAGGTATGAATTCATCCTTCAATTTATATACTGCAAGGACGTCTTTCTCGAGACCTTTCACCAGCCTTCCAAATGTTTCCAAGTCTCCAAATAACCACTTCGTCCTCTCTTTCAAATCTTCCCGAGAATGAGCCGCCGCTGTTGATCTCCCATACAGTGTCCTCATTGTAATAGCAGCCCTACTCATCGTTGACATCTGAAATAGTACAATCAGCACGCAGGCACTAACGGGGAATAACTTGTCAACATACTTGCTCAAATTCCTCCGCCATAGACACATAGAGAGCTTGGCATTCTCTCTGCATACTAGACTCGAATGATGTTTGTGTTGCCACTCGCTGAGCACCAGCTTGGAAAAGTGCGCCCTGTGGTTTGACATCGTTGGCATTCAAAATGCCTGCGCCTGGTAAAGTTCTATCTGTTAAACTGGTTGGTGCCGTTGATGGCATAATGAACGGTGCATTGCCGGAAGTCGGGAAGAGGTTTTGCGGCGCAGCGGGCGTTGTAGGAAGCGTGGCGCTCGGTCCTTGCGAAGGAGGAGGCGTGAAAGGCTTCGGCGGCAGGCCCGCGGGAAGAAGGGGAGAACTCTGGCCCTGCTTCTCATCAGGTCTTGCGAAAGGAGGAAGTACAGGCGTCTGTTGGGCTGCAGTAGTGGGAGCCGTCTGTCCAAACGGCACTTTTGGTGACGCCGGGCGAGGTTTGCGAAAAACAGGAGCAGATTGCGAGGACGGAATGTTCGGAGATTCTTTGTCTTCTTCGCCAGAGACGGGTGTTCCTGCGAGAGGTGAGCTTCTCGTTGGCCGTGAACTAGGTCGCCCCAAGCCAATCAGGATTGCGGGTGAAGGACCAGTGGGTTTGGGAGCTGGCAATAGTGTAATATCATCTGGTCTGCTAGGGGAACCAGGAGGTGTAGTTGATCCCTCGCGAACAGATGAGACAGGTTTGGAGAAGACACTCTGCACTGAAGGCTTCGTTGCCTCAGCACCTGATGGTTCAGTCTTCTGCCCGAAAAGCGATGGCGGGGGAGAAGGCGATGCGGATTTACTCGTGCCGACGGGCACCTTGTCAGTGGGAGCCAATGGCTTGCCAAATAACGTCGGAATTCCAGAGGCACCTGCCTTGGCAAAGAATGGAGGCGGTGACTTAAGAGGAGCAGATTTCTTGGCAGCAGAGTCGTCAGGGAGCTGTGTAATGATGGGAGAAGGGGACTTCCCTTTCGCCGACGCAGCGGTGCTGGGTTTGCCTGACTTCTCAGACGAATCTGTTGAGGACATTGACTCCTTTTTCTCAAGCGCAGGAGCAGATTCGGGTGTAAGGTCCCTGGAATCAGGAGTTGGAGGTAGGGGAATAGCAGACGGGCTTTGAGTCCTTGCGTGCGATGGTGTCCGTTCCACAAGCTCTTCTTCTTCACCTTCTTCCTCCTGTCCCTCCTCTTCTTCTGCACTATCTTCTTCCTCTTCTTCCTCTTCTGGTGCTTCCTCTTCCCCAGAAAACGACTCAGATATAAAGGAGTCGGCATCATCGTGTTCTTGTTCGTCTCCCAAATTCTGGTCTTCTTCGTCGAATGTGCCGTGAGTCGAAGGCGTAGGCGGGAGATTATCCTGATCCAGCTCGTCCGGCTTAGAAATAGTAATGAACGATTCGTCTCCCTTCTTGTCCTTACCTGCCGCGGGAGTTTCGGAAGCAGCCGGACTGGTGTCCTCGTCCTTCTGTCCCTTCAGCAAATCACTGAACGAGGATGGCTTTCCCGCCTTTGCAAAGGCACTAAATCCCCCAGATCCACTATACCCACTAAACGCATTCCCTGCAGGTGTCGTCAAAGGGGTTGTGCTCAAAGGACCTGGAGTAGAAGGTGAACCAAATGATGATTTCCCAAAAACAGACGTAGCACCTGGGGTGGACGGAGACCCAAACTTCGGAGTTGTCGAACCCGTAGTAGGGGTTTGGAATGCGCTCGCTGGCCCAGATCCCCCAACAGCAAAGGCAGAGACTGGTTTAGCAGGTGTGCTGAATGCACTAACACCAGTAGATCTTGGATTCGCGAATGGTGATGTGCTAGAAACCGACGCACTGGCGCCAAATGCTCCAAAGCCTTCAGACGGCTTGAACACGGATGGCGTTGATGTCAAGCCTCCAAATGCACCGCCAGCCGGTGCGGCACCAGAAGCTTTGAATGCAGAAGACGTGGGAGTACCGAATGGTGTAGTTGATTGAGCTGAGGGAGCTGGGCTCGATGACGGCTGCTCAGCGATGTCAATCGACGATTCGTCTTGTAGAGCTTTAGGCTTAGGTTTCTGTCCGAGATTCGGACTGCCTTCTGGGCTAGATGACTGCGATCGACTACGAGCTGTTGGTATCCCAAATACACTCGACTTTTGCTCTTGCGCCTTCGCAGAGGATTGTTGATTGATTCCGAATGCACTCGGAAACCCAGAGCTCGAGGCTTGTGGAGTACCGAATGGCGAGGGTGACTTCTGCTCAAAATTTGAAGAACTTGGGGGGTTCCCTGGATCCTCGCTGGAAGTTGCCATTGCAATACTTGGGGCTTCACTGGGCTTTGTCTGGAGGGTTTGTGCTTGCTGACTGAAGCCAGTTGTACCATCCTGAGCAAACGAACTGAAACCCTTAGAAGCGCCGGCGAATGCACCGAACCCTCCACCCGTCCCGGTTGCTGAAGTGGAAGGAGGAGCGGGCGAACCAAAAGCCGAGGATTTTCCAAACGCTGATGAAGCCCCGAAGGGCGAAGGTTGACCAAACCCTGTTTGGCCAAACGCGGATTGAGGCTTTGCAGTTCCAAAACCGGAAGTACCAAATGCTGGAGAAGTCTTCGTCTCTTTGTCAGAGCTTGTATTATTTGGCACAGATTGAGGCTCCGTGGGTTTGAGGAAAGCCCCAAAACCAGATGCGGGCCTCAAAAAGCCAGAGCCCTGCGTACTACCAAATGCACCGAAGGCGTTTGAACCGCTTGTTTCACCACCGAAAGGCGATGTTTCTGGTTTCTCTGGAGTAGAGGTCTGTACAAAAGCACCGAACATGCTATTCACGGCGCCATCCTGGGACTTATTTGTATCACTTGCTCCACCTAATGACAGACCACCCAGCCGGTCGGTATCGCCATCATCAGCTTCAGCCATATCCGCCTCCGGAGATGATACATCAACCGCTGGAGGTGGTTTTGTAGGTGTGCTTGGCTGTCCTGCGGCAGGTGACGATGTTCCGAATCCGAATCCCGTTGAGCCGAACTTCGACGATCCAGATGATGCAAATGCACCAAAACCACTCCCTAGTCCTTGTCCAAACGCAGACTGCGCCGAGCTTCCGAATGGAGACCCAACAGAGGATTGTCCAAAGGCCGATGTCTGACCGAATGCAGGCACAGTGGGCTGTTGAGCAAAGGCAGACGAGCCGAAGCCAGGTGTGTTTGACTGGCCAAAGGCGGGCTTTGATGGCGAATCGGTGACTGAGCTCGCGAACCCACCGCCCTGAGGTTGCCCAAATCCAGTTGTACCAAAGGTAGACATTCCTGATAGTTGCGCAAATGCCGACGAGGTGGTGGATGAACTGTCAGTTGACTGCGTTGATGAGGTACTGGCCACTGATGGAGTAATCATTCCAGGATAAGTGCCTCCCTTGTCATTGGAGACAAACCACGCCTGTAGAGTCCCATCACTTGCGTAAACATACAGGATAGGAAATGCAGATGTATCCTGGCCAGCAGTAAGGTCCATGTCTAAAGCGAGAGGCACAGTATCCTCCCCGTCTTTATCATATGGTACGCTCGGCGTAGATGTTTCTTCTAAGGTCAAGTTGCACCAAGTTTCCATCGTATTGTCCTCCGAAACGCTACCAATAAGACCAATATCGCTCGACGTGGTGTCAGCAACGAAAACAAGTATCTTCGTAGGATTCCAATTGCGCATGGCAACAGTGAACGATCCGGGGGGTCGTAGTGCGGGCGACGGATAATATGGCTTCTCGAGCGCTATCTGAGTAGCAGAATTCGCCTTAGGGTCAAACAGAGTTAAGACGTGCTTTTGCGAAACCTCTGGACTGAAATCACCAGGGGGCGTGTAAATGCCATAGAATGCTTGGTTTGTCAACCACAGCACTGTTATGATGCTTCTTTCACCCACACACGGCGGTTTTGGGACGTGCAACTTCGGTGTTTTCGTATCAGAAGGGCTATATGTCATGATATCGCCATTTCTAAGACCGATGGCCAGCTGTTTTCCCTTGGCCGACCACACAACTAATATTACCAAGGGTCAGCACGATAAACGAAATAGCATAATATAAAACTGTACGCACCGGACGTTGGTATTGATTCTATAGTATTGCAAGCCCATCCACTTATAGATTGCAATTGTCTGGTATCGATGATCTCAACAACTAACCCGTCTGAGCCACTTTTCGGATCTCTTCGGACTGCTACTAGCTCTGGAAGATCCCCTGGATTGCCCAAGATCTGTTGTATTGGACCAGGTGGTGCCGGAGGGAAAGTTCGTAAAGGCTCGACCGCATCAGCTCCTGGCGTAAATAGCGGAGATGTATCAAATACGAATACTGATCCATCTGCCGATCCGACTACCAGTCGCTCGTCATTAAGGGCCAACGCCAAATGTACAGGCACTCCCGCCACTTGCAGAACACGTTTTGCCGTGAAGCTCTCATCGTCCTCTGACTTTGAGGAAATAATTGACCCTCGAAGATCGCTAAGCGGGGAGAATACAATTTCTAATACCCAACATTTAGCTAGCCATTATTGACAATACGAGAAATTTCAACTCACGGTATCCCGCTTCAGGACTTCGCCCAATTGCAACAAACCACCCTTTCAAATTCGAAACAACAAAATAATTCCCCTTTCCATCATGAGCGTCCAAGTCAAGAGGTTGTTTGGATAATCGTATGCGAGCACGCTTGTTAAGTAATCGAAGCGAAAGATACTGCAAACAAAGATTAATTAATAAGTGGTAAATCGCAACAGACACCGTGAGCTCACTTCTGCGTCTTTCTCTTGTGCTTTAACCGTTGACCATGAGACTTGAGGAGAAGACGATAGTTGAATTGTACTGGTGTTCATCTGCACGATGTGATCGAAAAGGTAATTCGATGACCCGCTGTGAGCTAGTAGTAGTGGTCAGCGGCATAAACGCGCGCTCAACGTTGGCCACGAGCAGCACAGAAGAGCGTGTCAAGTCACGTGCATTTATACGATTTGTAATCCAAGTCTTCAAAATCAAAACTTAAACTTAAACTTAAACTTAAGAACAGCCGATTAATTGACATTTCGGCACAAAGCAACTTGCGATCATGTTGTACCGCTGAACTAGCTATCTTTACATGTTTCAATCTAGGGTACGAGCAGCTACTTCTATGATGGGAGCTTTATTTGTCCCACATGTGCTAAGAACAGAAGTTATAGGATAGGAAACAAAGCGGGAATACATAAGAAACACATAGATCGTTCACTCGTAACATAAATAGGTGCACAGGCCATGATCATTTCCCAGGCCCAGGACGATGTAACGCATTCTCGAGAACCCGAGTAAGACATTAGCATCCCATCATCCATAAGATTGAAAGAAGAAAGGTACGCATGGTGAATCAAAGTTCGCAAAGCTCGGCTAGCCATCACCTCAGTTCATATGAAGAGGCTCAATCTTCTTTGGTGTGGGTATCTTAGGAACCCCTAGTGCGCTTCTTCCATCCCGTGTTGGAGTTGATGGCGAACCGCGAGCACCGTTCGACCTCGCAACCGATTTGCGGTTCCGCTCGCGGTCGCTTGAACCTCTTCCGGGTTTCGCCATGCCTGATGGAGGAGCCCCAATGATACGAGACAATGTCCACGGCAATTCAAATCCTGCTTGAAGTGCTGCTGCTGCATAACGAGCAATTTCGAGGTGCAGCGTTGGATAATACGTTGTCGAGGCCTTTCGTGCGACCTTTCCGGATACAGTTAGCCTTCTTCCATCCTCTTAATGTTTCTACTTTTGGCTCACAAGGATGATTCGTTCAAGACCGGAGGCAAAAAGATCCTGATGGAATCGGTGTGCCGATAATTCATTGTCTTTGGGGAGATTCAAGTCCGCCGCAGTCTTCGCAGTAGCATTGATAAGTTTAAAGTGTGTTGTCTAGAACCGGCAGAACACGGCAATGATAAGAACATAAGGCAATATGACAAAACATGACGTTACTGCAGCAGGGAATTCTTACCAGATATGCCATTGCCTCAAATTCAACTCCGCCAGTCATTCCACCAGGAGCGCGGGGCTTCTCAACGCGCGACTCATCGGTATCGTCCAGGTTCCATATGGTGTTGCTTGGGTGACAGAACACCCAGAAGTAATCCCTACATATGTCAGAGAGTTCCTGCAAATACGTTTTATAGATTCGTGGAACATGAAGACATTCAATGAATTCATGAGGTGTAAGGGGTGTTTCCGAGGCCTCCGCAGGCAGTGGAGGCTTTGTAAGCAAGAGAGTTCGTATGAAAGAAAAGATATTACGATGTGGCGAAGGCAAGCTGATCAGCTGTGGGTTGTCGGTGACTGGACAAACATCCGAGAAGTCTTCCCAAATCTCACGGCGGCGCTGCCTAGTGGGTGTTGTAGAAGATGGGGAAGGCAAAGATGTCGGCGGATATAAATCGAAGAGAGTAAGTAGAAGTTCAGCAATGAGCTGCCGCGATGCAACATCGCCCGGTTTCTTGTCGGAGTACAGAAGACGCACTAGCTGCGCGAACGGTGTTGGAGTTTCGGAGCGCAGGGCAGCACAGCCCACAACAGATGTAGACAGTGCCTTTAGACACCGCAGAAGTTCGTGCAAGAGTTGATCATCATGTTGCTCTTCTCTGAATCAGGAATCAGGAAGAGTTGACCCATATGGCTAGGATGTGTACTGACCTCCATTCGACCTCCAAGAGTTCGTTGAGTCGGGTGAGCAGAGCAGAATACCCATCAAGCTGAAAGAAAGTTTCGGTCCAGCTAAATATACATTGTGTTAACGTCAGCTGAGAATAGATCGTACTGGAAAGACTAACGTGGCTGATTCATTCCGCAATAGGAGCCTTAACTTTTTTATAAGATCCACGTCCAATTCCAGACTCGACGTGCTTGTCAGTAAGCTTGCGTATCTAGACGGAGCTGTGTCCTTTGCCCATCCTTTCTGCAATTTCTTGCCCATGCCATCACTAAGTGACATTGGTAGTTGGACTCTGGAGGAATGTTTGCTAATATCGAGTGAGAGCCCTCGCGTGTGTCTATTCCTGGCGTCCACCGGCTCCGGTTGCTCATCTGACAGTCGTTTCGGCGATAGAGATGGCCTCATCGCAGAACCTAGGAACCGCCCGGTGGTCTGAGGGGTCTGAGGAAGTTCGTGTGAAGCATGCTGCTCAGAGCGGGGCGAAGAAAAGGAATCACTACTCTTTGATTTACGAAGAGTGTGAGGTACTTTCTTAGGAGTCGTTTGAACTGCAGAGGCAGGAGGTTTAATGACATGAGAAGAGCGAAGCATAGCTGCTTTGACAGTAGAGTCCATTCCGCTTAGTTTTGGTCGCAAGTTTTCCGGAATTTGGAGCTCATCCTGCATCGAGTAATTAGCCACGCTAAGGTGCTTGGGAGGTAAGCCAAACTTGCCAATAAATTGTCAAAGGCGTCTTCCATCTCCTTAGAGTCGGTGCATGGGCGAGCTTGATCAAGCTGCTTCTTATCGTTCTTGCTCTTCGTTGCCGGCGTAGCTGGTGCATCTATTTTCCCGTTGGCATCCTGGAAGACGGACACTCTGCGCGCACCCTTCTGTGCAGTGCAACTTTTCGGTCTGTTCTCCTTTCCTGCCGCATCACAGTCAATGGGGGAGACCACAGACTCGGGCTTCTTGCTAAATCCTTTGAACATGGTCACAGAGAGCAGAGACAACGTCGTGAGAGCAAGAGCAGTACGTGAAGTTGAACGCTGGGCGTGTCGAACGGAATCACGTGATCGAGCGACCTAAAGGCCGCGCGTAGGGACTGGTGCAGATGGGTCTATCCGCAAAACCGCACTGCGGATAAGCATTTCCACGGATAACTTATCCGCGGATGAAATTCCCACGGATACCACAGTTTCTGTGTATCTGCAAAAAACAGCCGGAAATTTGCAGGACTAACTTAGACAAGTAGAAATCAACTGTTGTTTCTTATGCAATCACTCGTGATACATCACAACTGTGACTAATGTCACACTTAGGTAATTAAAACAATGTGAATTTTTTTATCAGCTAGGCTAAGCACTCAAGTGACTCAACCACAGATACTGTGGTAACTGTGGGAAAATTCATCTGTGGATAGGTGGTGCAGATAACAGTGGCAGATGCCATGCCAGTCCCTAGCCATGTGCACATGGGGCATTTCACAATTCCTTGCCTTAAGAAATAACTTACATAATGAT